AACAATACAAAATGTAATACCATAGTCGGACGCAAATAATAAGATTTCACGAAACACCATCGCATACGGATTATATGTAATGTGTCACATTGCATTATGAGTCAGGAACCACTGGTGCTCATCACTAGTGGCGCCTGCGCTTGCGTCTGCGTGAGCCATCAAATATTAATGTGCGCTCGCGGTGACCTGGTTGCGTGGTTAAACTACACTCTCTTTTAATTACGATTCGACTTCTCAGACTAAGTTAAGTGTGAGTTAATTCTGGCCCGCGTCTCGTGACGACACGGTCGGGTGAGGTAATATTTTCCATACATTAATGTTCGACAAGCAGGATGGAACTAGATCAGGATAGCGACCGTTATAACGCTATTAAAATGTTTGATTTAATATATAAAAATAATAAGTTATCGTTACAAAATAATATCAACATATATATTGATAAAATCAATAAAACGCGTCAAAAGCTATAGCTCGAGCAGAGTTATGCGGTCGCTCCCCAAAAAGCTTATTCTGTTTATTCGAAAACGAATTTTCGTCTATTTTTTCCATTTTGTTCGTGATTAAATCGTTATAAAGAACAATGGCGAACTCCCATATAGCTTTGGACCTGAATTTTTAAAGTCCCGTTCATGAATGAAATAAACGTGTACTTGAAGGTATAAACTAAAGTAACAAAATCCCAATCGTCTTTTTCCTTTAAAAGTTGGGGTTAAAAAGATATGGCATAAAATACTTTGTGGGGTTATATATTGCATCTTTGCTTTTTCGTTGAATGGCCGTTAAAATAAATAAAAATGGTAACCAGATTACTCCGTTTAATAAACTAGATTAAGATAGTAACATATCTAACAAGATCCAGACACTTATAATAGATGAAACATTTATAACATATGACTAGACTGTGTGGAGTAGATCCCTTTGCCTTTAATTAAATAATTACAACTGAAAGTGACAAATAAGGGCAATGTACACATTGAACTGTCATTGATATACCGAATCGATTGCCATTCGGAATCCAAAAGTAATGCAATTATGAACGTTAGTCAAAGAAACATGTTTAATTGTCAAGTTGAATATTAACATAAATATCAAACTCCACGAACGAACACACAACAAACAAACCAAACTAATCATCCGCTATCATTCCACCATCATCATCATAGAACAAGCATGTCAAAATAAAATCAACCAATCGATTATTTAGAACAAAATAATCGATACGTTAACCTTTCATCGAATCAACTGCAGAACTGGCAATAATCTTCTTAAATCGGTTATGGTATCTTAGCTTTCAGTTTTTTTATTTCTTAAGTATTCAATTCGTAATTTGAACAAATAAAATAAATATTTATGAAAGTATTCAAAGATCGTATTTCATATAATATATTATATATAGATTTTATATTGAATATATATTTGACGTTCATTCGCTCAGTCGGTACGCATCATTAAATCACATATCTCACTTATTATTAGCAGTTAATGACGACAGATAATATTCTATAGAACATGTTTAAAAAACTCGCGATTAATTGAGAATCGTTTCTGACATCGTTGATGTATGTGATCGATTTTTCAAAAACCATCCAAACTACAACCCTTTGACATATTGTGTGGTTTTCAATTAAAGAGAACGGAATCTATTCTATATAATCTTATTTTGAATTTAAATTCGATTATTAAGCGTATTAATGGTACTTTAAAGGCATTATAATTAATTGTTATGTACAGGAAATAATAATATCCATTTAAATAGATGACCCTTTTATTATTAGATATAGTTTTATTATTAAAGTACTTCTGCGTAGACCAGAACGTTTCTTAAGAAGATTTTCGCGTTTTGTTTTTGCACTATCATCAGACGTTTTGTTATCTTGATAATTATTAGCAGCATTTAATATTTTAGTTTGGTTCCCCGACATTAAAATTCATCAATTTGTAGAAATAAAATCTATTAATCATATATTATTTATTTGTCATATTGCCATCCATGTACGGTTTTATAAATTATGGGGTCTGATTTCGCCATTCTTCTTTGCGCGGCCGAAATCTCGGGAAAATAAACCAAACCAAATGTAAGAATAAGTTCCGCGCGGGGCGGACTTTATGTAACCGTAGCTTTACTGGTTAATTGAACTTCCCATGCATTATTGCGACTACGAATGGCTGGCTGTAAATTAAGCTCGCTATAAGCTCGATCTGGCATGAGATGCGGAATGGTAATGATAGCGAGTAATTTATGACCGCTGTGACTTTTAGAATCGAGCACCGTATAATCATACATGTTTGTGTTTAGTTTATTTGCCAATGCCGAATTGATTCATTGCGAAGTTGTCATAGATAAATAATTAAACATCTGCGGTATATTCCTATAATTTACGTAAGCTAAGTAATAGAATCCCTTTAAATGCTATGAAATTTTATTCGCAATTAAATTCTGTTTAACGATTGGACAGTTCGGTCGGTTTCTTCGATGTGATTATAAAACTTACCGCCATAATCCCAATGCTATTTCGTCCGAATTGAAAAAAGGAATTATTTTAACTCATTTTGAAATATAATCGTATTACATTCGCTTGGTTTGTTTCATAGTGTATAGTACAATTTAATGTGTTTAGTTTTATTGTTTTCAGTTTAATTTAAGGCTGTAGTAATTTATGTTCAAAACAAAACAATTATTTTAACGAAACCTTAATAGGTGTTTGAAAATGTGGTCCTTAACTAACCTATAATATATTACAGAGAGAAGATTTTATTGTCTGTTTGTTTGCATTGAACAGGTTCCGAAATTTATTGGACAGAATTAGTAGGAAGCAAGCTGTGTAGAGTCCATACGCGGTCGACATAGGCTATAATTTACACGGCCTAAGTAGCAAGCAAAAAATCTAGTTATAATATAAATTATAAAATGTTTTTTATATAAATGAATGAAATAAAAATAAATCCTATTGCATAAAAGCAATTTTTAAGTATTATTTTTAATACTTAAAAATTAATTCGAAAAGAATCTATACCTACGGTTTTTAATATAAAGCGTCCAACATGAATAATTACATCAAAATAGTTTAAGATTTTATTATTTTATAATATAGTTAGTACATTATAGTTTCACAAAATTTTTAGGGTTAAAAATATGCAGTTGTGTTTATCTACTTCGACGACATAATGCTTACGATTAATATGACAAGAAACTACCATACTCTACACAATAAAGATATAGTCGAACGTAAAATCAGCACCTTCTTGAGATCGGTTAAAAAATAATCACCGCTCAAACGCGCTGTAGAGCATAATGATGAACGCGAGCAACTTTGCTTTCGGTGTCATACCCATTTCGTCGCGTCTAACCGAGACCCTTCGTGTACGAGATGTTTTCTAAGAATCAGCGGTGCATCTCAGACTGCTCGTCGCCGAAACACAATGGGGTCCAGTCTTTTTTTTTCGTCTTTTGTTAGACGCACACCCGTCTCAGCCGTATGCCGATAGAAAAAAACCCACCCGACGTCATTTATCGCTTTGTTAGGTCACTCCGAACCGCGCCTTTGATGTTTTATATTTATCTCCTTATACCTGTTATAGATTTAATGAAGTCGTCAAGAAAGGGTTACAAAATTATGCTCGCTCTGTAATCATTGCACTAGAAAAGGTTTTGTTTCCTAAACCACTATTATCTATACACATGTCTTTCTCGTAAATTAATAATCATACAAGCTAATGTTTTCCATGTTTTATTCGGTTAAATCTTCTTTGCCACTGTAAAATAGATCATATAAATTGAGTAAAAAGTTTTATTATTAGATGCAGACATAGTTTTAATTCTACAAAAAATCACCACATCATCCATTCCTTATGGTGCCAACGAGTCTGCCGGGATAACGATGTCCCATTTATGAGTTTTTTTTAGATATGCTCGTGTCGTGGTGCATCTTTCTGGGTCCATTTATTTTGTTAAGATTGTTTTTATACTTCTAATGTATTCGACTTAAGTAGGTTCATACATTTGAGATTAATTTCGAATTATTACCTACATTAATAATAAAGACTGTTTAATAAAACGTAATAAATATTAAAATACAATTTCATATGACATAATTTTCAATATTCCTTCCTAAGCACTTGTTAAATGGTTTTATAAACACCGCCATGTCCCATCAATTTATCAAAGCGGCCGGCGCATTGGTTAACGCTTAATAAATGGTATACTTTATACATAGGTATATCATGCGACCCGTCCCGCTCGTTACCGGTTTTTGTATCGGCTAATGTTGTGCATCACTTCGGACCGGTTAGGTAGAAGGACTCTCCTCCCTCATTCTCCAGGATAACTTATAGACTGCAAAGTAAAAAAAAACAGCAACACTTTTCGCAATGCGCTCGCAAATTTCGTTTCCTGCTTTGATATTATTTGCAAATTTTATGAGAAAGGTCAGGTACTATTTATAAACCTATTATCAAATCTGTGTTAGATCAATCGATACAAATAAATAAAAATGAAATGTCTATTTGTAAAATTAAACAGCTTTTTGCTAATTGCATATGTATACTGTACATATAACAAAATATATTTTTTTACATTTTCTGTCTGTCCGTCTGTCAGTTTGTATCGGCTAATCTCTGAAATGGCCGAGATGATTTTAATGGGACTTTCACTGGCAGGTAGCTGATGTAGTAAGGAGTAACTTAGGCTACTTTCCATGTAAACGAAGTCGCGGGCACAGCTAGTATGATAACAAAAAGGAAGCGAAAGTGTGTTAGGGTTAAGACCCTAACACACCCTAAGGGGTGTGAAGACCGGATCTATCTGGAAAAAAATAGAATAGAATTTTATTTAGTTTCACCTATGTGGTGTTTACAATATTATTTACAAAAACATTATTACATTTAGCATCAAGTGTTAAATAGTAAATAAGTCCAAATTGAGCGTACACTAAATTATTCGTATGTTTTGCTAAGCACTAGTTTAATTTTATATAGATATTATACAAAAATGTGATTTACAGGTAAATCTCAAACAAGACGTCGTGCGTCGGTTCGAGGTCAGCGGAATAAAAGAAGTGAGTGCGATTTTATTATTATTATTTTAAACTAGTTACTGGTCCCGGCATCGTACGGATGGTGTAGCCTAATGAAAAATAATAAATAATTGTTTTTTCTATTTTCATATACAAAAAAAAGAATTATCTGATTTGGCATCTTTCTCAAATAAGCGCGTTATACTTTCTGGTGTTTCATTTATATCTAGGAGGGGAAAGAAAGGGGAAAAGGGTGGAGAAATAACGAAAAGTACTGTAATAGTTTAAGTTTGAACATTACTATATAATATACTTAATTAATAATAAGATTTTATTATCAAGACTAAAATTTCTTTATATTTGTTTAACCAACATTCAATACTTAAACAAAAGTGTCAAATGTATTTAATGTGTTCTTTATTTATTAAGTATAAGTAGGTATTTTCAGCATTAATATTAACAATATTAGAATATCTTTGTTTTAATGAGTACTCTTGATTTCAATCTCGCCCAAAGGCTTGAAAGAGATATACGATGGGGCGAGCCTGTTCAGAAGGAACGTATTCACATAAAAAATATAAAATATTCAAATTGATATATTATAACAGGATTCCGATCGTACGAACATCATCATGTTACAATATCCTGTTGTAACAATTTAATTGAATATTTCTAATACCCATTTTAGTGAGATTTCTTTTTGAGCAAAAGATATAAAAAACGGAGCGAGCAGACAAAATATGTATGAGAAAAATACTGTATCCAGTAAACCTTTACATTCTATTAGGTAGACGGAATATTACTGATATTTGTATTTCTTCAGGCTGCACTCGAACAGATCGTGCTTTATTCAATGGGAACCTAATCAAGATCTTCAGTGGAGACTACGAAAGGGTACGAGCAGCCAACAGCGGCCCACCTGAACCCAGGGAGGTCGCCGACTGGAAGTTCAGGGAACTAGACCGGGACAAAAGTGATACCTTGAGGAAATCTGAGTATAGAGGACTCAGGAGGCTTATAAAAAAGGTAGTTGACCTTAACAACTGAACTAAATAGTGATAAGTAACCTGTAATACAATAAAATATTAGATAACATCACAAACATTTTCAGTATTCCAAGTTAAGAATTTGCACTAAAGCATTTGTATTATAGTTATCTGTAGTAAAAATGGTATAACAACAATATCTATAAGTATGTAAAAATAAAAGGGTCTGACTAATCAAGTGATCAACTCATTTTATTTAAAAAAATAAATCGATTTCCTAATGTGTTTCAATTTACTCTTTGAGGTGGTGAAGCCAAAACGCTGTGCTCGTGCATGGGCACGCGGCTGTGATGGCGATGGCGATGGAGAGATAGCGCACGAGGAGTGGGTCGCATGCTTGCTTGTCGACCCCGAACCACCCGCACCGGACTGTGAGTACATTAGAGCAATTACCGTATCTACATACGCTTTAACACCCTAGCTATATGGTAACAGCAATTGTACATAATACGCTTTTGTTTTGTTTGGTAGTTTCTATGCATTTGTTTATATAATTGCTTTTTTCTGAATCCAAACTATAATTTGATCTAATTCTGCAATCCACATTTCTTCATTACCTCAATACGACTACTTCCGTAACTACACCGTTGTCCTCTTTTTTTAAAGTTACCTACTCATTTACTATGCGTTGCGTTTTTTTTAAGTACATAACTATATTAAAAATTAGTTGACATTAACTCATGCTCAAGTTCTCAACGACAATTTATCTGGTAACGCTCGTTTAACTAAAACGGTATCTACCTAATCTTTTTCGTTGATGTCTCACAGCAATCTTAAGTTATTTTCATGTTGACAACATAATATACGAAAATGTTCATAAATGATTAGTAATTCAGTATTATATATATTCACGATAAGAGACAGGTTCTTGAAAGGAACATGACGATAGTCGGAATGTGAATATTGCCAATTACTGTCATTAGTATAAATAACAACAGCGCTTTCGCTTTTGGCAAACTGTAAAATTAAAAGTATTCTCCTAAGATAGTATAAAACGAGTAAGATATAAGAGATCCTAATCTCTTTATGCAAACTAATCTCATCAAAAGTATGATGATGAAATGTAAAACCTTATTACAATAATTCTATTTAATCGCATTCGTTTATATTACACATCGAATCTAAATTGTTCTTAATGTAAAGTTATTAATGTATAGTATAGCAGATTGAGAACTGGATCAATTTCATTACTAATGTATAACGGGGAAACAAGCAGTTTTTTATATTTTCAAGGACGTTAAGTTATACAATTTTAACTTAAATTAAAATTTCCTGCCTTTGGCTGCATCTAAATCTTTAACTTTCTATAGATATTGTATCAAGAAATTTCGCTCAAATAAGCTGTAATCAAATATACTATAAGTATTTATATAAGAGTTCCGTCGCAGCCAAAACGTATATTTACAAATTAATTTCCCTGGATAAAATCACAAAATTACTTGTAAAATTCACGATAATTTAAAATGTATTGTTGTATCAAACCAAAATTGTATCCTCTTTTGTAGGGACAATTGAATCACTTTTTAATCGAGGGAATTATGCAGTACTTTTACAATAACCGTAACAGGTTTATACATTTACACATTTTACTATTTCTTGTATAAAATCTAGTATAAAAAATGTGAAAGACCTGAGACACCTATTCCAGCGAACATAAATCACTTCGAAAGGCACGTAGCTACTTTTTAAGTAGTTATAACTTGCTGAAAGCGCTATGCAGTGATGCAAGATACTTACACGTAACAGTTCCCTTAAATATAAGAAGAATTAATTAGGTACCATATACCAATATCAAATGGTTACAAGGACTCGTTGTATTAACTTCATGTTTAATTTAACACTTCTTGTTACCTCAAGTTGAAATAAAGTTCCTAATTTAGGTAAAACTTTTAAAGTGTTATAAATAAATAAGGTTTAGCGTCGGAGTAAATAAACGCTGAAACTACACATAGTATTAGTTAAAATTCATATTATTGAAAAGACACCTAGCAAAGGTTAACCTAGTACAAGGTTCTTCGGGAGTGACATTTACTCCTAGAAGGTAGGTTTGCTTATTTTCTGTATAATATAAATTTGGACTAATACTAAAATTGTTATATTAACGTAACTCCGTATATTAATAGCACTGTAGCGTAGCGATACAGACATTCTATTATAATTACCTAATGAACACTATAGAAAACTCTAACCAATCCGAATCAGGTTGTCAAACTCCAATAAAAATACCCAGGTTCAATAATCTACGCATAATTGAGACATTTTTTTATTTATAACGGTGTCACGTTTCCCTAACTCTATCGGTCATCGCCTCGCGCTAATCCTTGCCTTAGTTTGCATGTTAATATAAAAATGCTAATGTGTGTGCAAACATAATAATAATATATAGTCTCTCTCCGTTTCTTCATGTCGTTGAATGCAGACGACGACAGCGGTCCTGAAGCGGAGCCCGATTATAATGAAGAGGAACCACTGCCAGAAACTAAAGCAGGTGATCTACAGGAAAAATTTGCTACAATAATAGGAAAAATATTCCAATCAGCGTACAATTGGTATTTGTTACTCTAAAACATAGTGTTCACGTTTTTCTCTCGTTTGGTGAGTGTTCTCGACTGTACATGCAGTCGGGATTAACGGCTTAACGTGTCTTCCACAAAACACGAATGATCTCTTTAATATATTTCGTGTCACCCATCCGATGACGAATTTTGCTAAACCTCCATAGTTGAAGTCCTAACGCACCAACCGAGGTCCTCAAATACAAAGTTTAAGGTAGTAAAAATAAAATTTTAATTAACAATATATAAGCTTGGAGCAACGACATTTTGCTCACCGGACGGATGATTGCTCTATAGACTAAACTACCGGAGGCCTAACTTATAGCACTGTAAATGAAAATTTACTACTACTAGTAATATTAGAGGTTTTATCGTTTATTAAAGACCTGAAAGGATTGAATTGAATAGAGAATCGAGATACCCACCATGCTTCACAACCCCGATCACAAATGATCGAAGTACTGCACTGTACTTTTCAATCAATTCCAATTATGAGGAAAAATACTTGCTAATGTACTTCCATATAAGTAATTTATAGTCTCAGAATCAGTGTTTGTTCAATTTGTAACAATATGCTAATTGAAGCAACTGCTTACCTATAGTTGTTATAGCTTCCTTTTCTATTTCCTAAGGACGATAATCTGACTTATATGTTTTGTTTATTTTTAAGGGGTAATATTCGAAAATACTGATCGGATCAAAAATATTATTCATCTCCGGGAAACTGCAGTCGCGAGAAAACAGTTTGTGTTAAATACAAACTAAACCCATAATTGAATTTTTACCATTTACCATACCATATGCGACATAAGTATGAGCAAAAATTGAATTTTGTACTTAATAATTGCAGACAGTCCAAAAAATCTAGTAATATTTTGAGTTCTTTGAGTTATAGTTAGGTTTTAAATTTCAATACAGCAATTCATAAACAATCAAAAAGATAACATGATAGAAATCAATGAAATTTTTAGAACGGGTACTGAAAATATCTGATGCGACTTCGCTCGTGTCTAGATTAGATAAAAATGTGAAATTTCATATTACAGATTTCAGGTTTACAGTTTTTTATATTATTATTTAAATTGCAATGTTGTGTATTCCATGTGGGTAGTGCTGCCGGGGATAATGCGGAATTCTTTTGCACCGGACGGGCCCGATGCAGAGTCCCGGCGTGAGGACGAGGCCAACGACTGTCTGACCGACAGGCAAGCTGTATTGGACGAACAGGTTAGATTTCTAACAAACTTCTAAATCAATAATAAAAAGAAAAAATCACGTTTGTTGTTTCATATGGAGTTGTTCGAATATTACTCGTAAACTTGTAAAGGCAACTTTAGTATGATAGTTTTCCTTTTAACTTCGTTATATATAGATACAACTGCCATAACGTTTGAATTTTTACCAACGACAGTTAAGTTGGTAGAGTGTTGATTTAATTAAATCACAAACGGTTTACGAAATCGAAAAAGGCCTTCTCACACACTCGATGATTTTAGAAAACATGTGGAAGATGAAAAGAAATATTATCATCCTCACTTTACATTTAGTCCCCTAAATGAAAATTAAAAATACACGCTGCGCGTACCCTCCGGGGAGGGGGGAAGGATTCGGGTTCTGGCAAAGAGCCCGCTAGGTCCACCCCACTTTCGCGGGCTGGGAAAAGACCAGGGTACCTGATCGACTTTTCCTTAGATGATGGAGGAGAGACCATTTCGTCAACGGTAGCACGTAGCACCCATCCAAGGGTGAGTGGAACCGTGCCGTCACCATCGTTGCGAGCCGCAATCTTATTCGCGCACCAGCGGGTACACGTTTCCGTGCGCGTACCGATACCAATACCGCAATACAGTTGCGTCACCGTAAATGCTGGGTACTCGAGCCTACGCGACCAGCTTTTCAATTACGGCTTCCCTTGCGGTTCTTCTGATAGCAGTCAGTTCCTCTGGCGCGGCCTGCTCTCCGCGTTCTATGGCCTCCACCCTCCCTTGATATATCTTGGCTTCAATATCCCATGGGAGTATACATGCAAAAACACATCCCGCTTCGGCGGAAATAGTTTTATACCCTCTTATTACCCTGTTCGCGATGACCCATTGCAATCTTTGGAGCAGGATTTTATTAGCCTCCTTAAGCGCAGCCGACCAAACGGGCGCCTCGTAAAGGTAATGCCATACACTTATTATATGAATAGTTTAAGACAACCATTGCCGGGACCACCCACGTTAGGCAACAATATTCCCAGTACAGCTGCTGTTTTCACTAGCTTGGAGGTTGGTTGCCGGAAGATCACTAACCCCACCCCCTTCACACTTCTGGATCACAGTTTTTGAGATCTCCATTTGCAGGCCCATATTACATTGCCTGAATGCCATCACCAACTCGTAAGTGCTGTCCCTTGCAGTGCGGAAGTTATACATGAGTGGAGTCCCAAGATCGACCCCCGTGGGACTCCGCACTTCATCTCTCGAACTAGGTATGCCTCAATGATCCTCTGCAAACATCCAAGTACCTGATGGTATTTTAGCACATCGGCGATGCAGTGGAATGGAAGGGAGTTGAAGGGGTTCTTGTTATCAAGAGATACCACCACTACCCTCTCGCCCTTGTTCATCGCTGTTTCTGTTACCTTTTTGAGAGTGATGAAGGCATCCACCACGCTCCTATTTCTACGGAACCCTAATTGAGTTGCCGAGAGAAAAGTATTTTTATATGTGTTCACTGATTTCACCGCAAATTGGCTATTTGACTGGTTTGGGAAAAGTAAACTTTCATATGATCATATTAAATTCCTATCAGATTCATTTTTCACCAAACAGTATTATTAAATAAAGGAAAAACATATTTTTATTCATTGATATAAATTATCCTGCTAAAATAATCAGTCACTTGACAGCTCGAGCCGTGACAATTTCATTGATAATGAATACAGTTACACTTCAGCTGCATTCGCAACAAAGACGTTGACGTTTAGTTATCTTGAAAAGATAACTAAAATGAATGTTTTGTTATCTTACAATACATTTATTAAACAGATTTTAAACTATAATCTTACATCATTATATGTATCGCAGAAAGCAGGTGGGTCAGTACTCTATGTGCCTGAATGTACGGGAGACGGACGGTACGCGCGGGCACAATGCTATCGCTCCACGGGCTACTGTTGGTGCGTCCACCAAGACACCGGCAAACCTATTCCTGGCTCTTCTGTAAAGGACAGGAAACCGGACTGTGATGCAGCACCTCAACACGCAAGCCCTATGAGAGGTTACTATATATATTTTTAATTCAATAGGAGAAAATTGACATTTCCCTTTAAGTCTCATTAATAAAATAATTTTTACCTATGTATTTGTACCGAACCCGCGGACACGAGGCGAAGTTTAAAAACAATATTATATAATAACACCCAGTTTCTGTATGTGTTGTGCACTATAATAAACATTTTTCTCCTAGTAGAGTTTGGCAGAGGTAAGATGATTTACCTACTCTGAAATCTCAAGTCATCCAAGTAACATTATTTACTGTAACTAAGGCCTTTAGTTACCATACAATTCTAAAAAGAACCATATTAGTAACCATTGTGACTGGTTGTATTATAACGGTTTTTAACAGACCGATCTAATTCTATTAAATTAGAATTTAAGGCGTCATCTGCGCGTTTAATATAAGCCATGTACATGATGTAGCATGTGCGGGTGACATATAATACTACAATTGACGCGGGATTAGTCTCGATAAAACAGCTTTTATAACAGAGAATATTTTTTTAATTACAGGTTGTCCTGAAAAATCGAAGTTCCTGCGTGATTTACGAAGTTTCTTTATAACTAAGATGACAACAGCGACAAACGGCACTGGACCTGGGTAAGACACAACGAAACAAAATTGAACTCATTAGGCAGAATACTTTAACTTAATTTAAAGTACACCTTTACCATTAGATTTTAAAAAAGTGTTTATGCTTAAAATCATATAATTTGCAACCTACTACCTTCCTATTGTACATAACCCAATTTCTGGAAAAACATCCTAGGCACAAATGCTATATTATATTTCTCCGAAAAGGAATTTTCATTTATACGAAACGCAATTCCCGATAATTTAAAATGGAACGGAGGTAAGACCTGTCATTGCCTAAGATGCACCGACAATCTTCGTGAATATAATAATAAGAATTATTTGAAAATTTCCGTATTATTTCGTTCGACGATAAACAAATATATTAGGATAGGGTCTCAGGTGACATGTTAATTCGTAAGAGTAGTAATTAAGGACCTCGCATCTGCGCGTAAATGATAACCGGCATTTTTTAGGGTTCCATACTTAAAAAGTAAACAGGTACCCCATTACTAAGACTTCGCTTTCGTCTGTCACCAGGCTGTATCTATCTCATGAACCGTGAAAGTTAGGGAGTTGAAATTTTCGCAGATTATGCATTTCTGTTGCCGCATCAACAATATTAAAAACCAGAATAAAATAAATATTTAAGGGGGCCCCCACACAACAAATGTTTCCCTTTTGCTCGATTCTGGTACGGAACACTATGTGCGCGAGTCCAACTCGCACTTTTATTATTTGATGTTTATTTAATAAAATAAAAAATCTATTTGAAAAAGAACCCATGGTGTGAACTAAATATTTTTCGTTTCAATGCTTGAATTTAATAAGGGTTTTAATTTTGTTGATAGTTTTATTTTTTCTTTTAGAGAAATGGTGAGATGGGGGGCATCCAACGAGGAGCAGGCAGCTACTTGGACGTACGTTATGCTCGATAAAGACAAGAACAAAGCCCTAGAACGTAGAGAATGGAAGGCGTTCCATCAGCTGATCGCGAACGTGGAACAACTGCGTCGGTGCGGACGCAAGTTGCCGCGTTACTGTGACGTGAATCACGACACTAAGATCAGCATCACCGAATGGATGGCCTGTCTCGAAGTCACGCAGGCTTCACAGGGACCTAGCAGTCAGTATTATCTCATTAATTTACTGGTATCATCTTCGGCTCTCAATAGATGGCGTTAAATGTACAATTATGTCGGCTCTTTGTTAATGTGCTTTTATTATGATATATTTGAGCTTATAACGTAATGGTATTGATGTATATATTTAATTTTAATACTTATAATACCTGTGTATACAATTAATGCTTGGATCACTCAGTATCACCATACACACGGTGAAAGTTGCAGTCAGGTTAAATAGACAGTATGAACGTTACCTATTACAAACCTTGAAGTCTATACTACCTATATATATATATATATATATATATGTATATATATATATATATATATATGTTGTTTAATCCAATCACCTCGTGATTAAATATGATTTTATATGTATTATTTTCAGCTGAAGCAACGAAGCCACCACCAAACCCAAGAAGAAAAGGTCCCAATCCACTAGAATCGATCCTAAAGGCTGATGATTGAATTTCTCTACCAAAAGTATTTTAAATAAAATCATTTTATGACAGTGTTACGCCTAGTTGCACAAACATCCATTAAGGTTTAATGACGCCTTTAAACTATAATGAATGTCAAATTTGTATCGGTAATGTCGCTTTAAACTAATGATTTTTAATGGACGTTTGTGAAACGGGCAATTAGGTGTTAAAACGAGAGAAAATCTCAGTGAAATAATTATACAGTAAAACAAGCTTAATACGCCATCTGGTTTTAACCGGGGGAAACAATAGAGCTTGGCTTGAACCATAGAAAATTGTTTCAAGAAAACTGGTTCAGCGCTGTACTGGAAGCACAATTTGTTTGATGAAATCTCAATATACGATCGATCAGTCGTATTTCTTATTTATGACTTGAATTATGATAAAGTTGAACAACTGTCCATACCGATTTTGTTTTTATATTGACTGCGAATAAAATCGAAGACACAAAAGTTAAATAATATAGAAAATTTTGTCATTCAATTTTATGCATCTCAGCCGAAAAGGAAAATATTAAGATTTAATCAAAAAAATCAATGATATGTAACTTTCATAATATACGATATAATTCGTTAACGAAATTATGTATAATCATTTAAAGGTGTGTGTAAAATCGTTTTAAGCTAGTTTTACTGTAGTAAAGTGCACGAATGACTACTACTATACGTATTAAGAATGAGTTTCTGTAAGATCCTCATATGGTGAACTCGTAAAATATTGCCTTAATTTATTTACCTTAAAACGAGCTCTGCTACTTTTTCTAGAGCTCTAGTCTTGTTTTTGTCTATATTAGATTTTAACCAATTATGTAGTACGAATAGTATTGAACAATCGAGTAAGTAAACTTTTTAGTAAACTAATATTTTAGTATTTCTTGTTCGTTTAATTATTATTTATACTTCGACATAGTATTGATAGCTTGACAATGGAATTATTAAACATTGTGTTTAAATTGATATAAAATGAAAGCTATTCAATAAAGAGATTTTTTAAATTGTAAATAAATTACTGTAATTTCAACAACACGATAACAATAAAAAACCGATTGTGGAACAAATTTTGACAACTTTGTATAACATTTTAATCGTATTATATATTTATATAAAAATAGTATGTAGGTGGATATTGTGATTATAAATAAAATATCAAATGAACATGTCTGTGTAAGTCGTTAATTTTATTAACTGTATTTTTGTTAAACAACTTCCAATATATCAGTGTTAATTAAGACCTAAGTGTATCATCATCTTACAAAATGGTATGATTTCTTTTCAGATCTTCAAATGTAAAGAGGAAACAATAAGTACATTAAAATTCAAAAATTCGACAATACAAATTTATATTTGTAGAAGTAATTTTGTGATCTGTAACATTTGCACACTAAACTATAAAAGTTACATTTATTAATATGGCTCACTCTATTCAAAGAGCTGTCTGTAAATTATGTAAATCGGTCATTTTATATAACGAATGTTAAATTATCTAATCAATATCACTAGACATCATGCACACGGATAATATCAAAAGCGTTGCGACATATATAGTAAGCATAACCGTAACTAACATACATATAAATATACATGTATCTCAACACGCAATTAAATATATGAATAGGGAATATGTATTATATTTTTTCGCGAACATTCTATTGTTGAAATAAACTAAATTTCCAAGAACATTTTTTTTAAATAATTTTCTAAACATATAAACAATTAAATCTCTATTAACCAAGGATAGACATAAACTACAGTGCGACTTTAATAAAGTCTAGTAAACCCTCTTCTTCTTTTATTAATGCCTTATCTGCGCGATTCGCACAATTCTGCCAATTTCACGTGCGTAGCCAATATACGGTAGGGGTTATTATAATAAATTAATTTTGAAAAGAAAGATCTAATGAATGAACCATAAACGTCACACAGAAGTGGTAAGGACATGAAGCGTCCTCACTCTAATCCTGCCACATTATATAATCATTTAATCAAATAATCATAAGATTATTATTATTCAAATAATCATTAGATTATAATTATTAGATTATATCAGTACATAATATAACCAATAGATACAGAAGTTATTCCTGATGGATATTCCCAATTCGTACATGATTAGAATTATATATTCGCACCCGCAACGCTATGTTGAAATCGACTAAAATAAGATTAAAATAATTAATCGATACAGCTCTTTGAAAGCAACCCGAATTACTTTCCACTCAAATAGGTAGTGTAAAACTGTAAAGATTTTGTGATATTTTTTTTTCTATTTTATAATTTGAAATAAATAATTTAATACTTAAAATGTGTATGCATTTCATTGTGAAATCACATAAATAATACATTGGTACAAATGCAAAATTAAAAAGCTCTTGTTACCTACTTAACTCTAGTAGTTCAGTGAAGATATACAACAGATATAACCAACATGATTAGCACAGTAATTTAATATAATGTGTTTACCCAAAGTAAACCTTAACAACACGTATTTAGTAGCACTATTCGTCACAAAGTACTGTCCGTTTGTATTCGTCTATGGTCTCGGTGAGTATTTTTTGGAAGATGCCTTCGAAAATTTGGTTTTTGACGAACGCCTCGTCTGATTGGAGCGACGTCCACTCGGGCTCGCAGCGTCGCCATTCCGCAAACAAAACATCATCAATGTGATCAGAGCGCCTGGAACTCACACCTATATAAAAAAAATACTTATTTTAATATGATTATTCGTATGTAATTCCTAAGTTCATAATGAGATTAACCAAAATGTGTATATAATATTCTTTTAATATGATTATGTATATATGATTCCTAAGTCCATATTGAGTTAAACCAAAATGTGTATATAATATTCTTTGTTTGGATATACTCTTCAGAGGGCAGATACGATTAAAGTCGGTCAAAAAAGTCCACCATTCTTAAATACAAACAAACACATCTTTTACTATCACTTTTAAAATAGCAGTGTTCATATGATTATTTATACAAAAATTTATGAATCAAAATTAATTGTACGGTCGGCCAAGAAAGTGGTCTACCAGTTTTGACAACATTTCCCGTGTCTTTAAAGCATCGCTAAAGGCGAATCTTAGAATTGCATACAAACAATAAAAGAGATGCACAATGCTGACGTGTTGTCGTAGAGCACAAATGTTATTTTGACCTTTGCAGATTAGATAATAATTTGCAACAACAAATAATCTTCACAATATTTCATAAATTTAAAATTTAAGTAGGTCACTTCAAAGTGGAAACTATTTTGTTACGAAAACTCTTTTACTGAAAAAGAATATATCACTTGACAATTCATGTCAAATATTTTCTCGGCATTTTCCGTAGGTATTTTCCTATTTAATTTACACTACAATGCCCCGAAATTTATCCATTAACGAAAGAGCACAAATAATCGCATTACACAATGATGGTTTGAATATTAGTGAGATTTCTAGAGAATTAAATGTGTCGGTAAGTATTATTATGTCTGACGTGAGTTTAATGTAAAATCTCAGACCAAGTCCGAAGGTAAATTTTTTTTTTTTTTTTTCTGTTTCTTATTTTATTTTTGCTTATAGAGACAAGCTGTCCGTCTTTGGATAAGACGAGAAAGCGAGGAGGGGAATTTGAACGCTCGGAGTCGTAACGGTCGTAGACCTGAAATATCAGATACTCAGCGAGTCTTCATGAGACGGAGTTATGAGGAATCTGGCTTTATACCAACGCGTTATTTTGCCGACATATTTGACGTGACTCTCCAAACCATTAGAAACCATTTACATTACATGGGCTTACATCACAGGCGTTATGCAAAGAAAATTTATATGACTGACGCTCATTGAATGGCCAGATTAAATTTCGCCATAGAATATTTGGATTTTGATTGGAGTAACACTGTTTTGTGTGACGAGAAAACTTTTAAATCCAGTCAACACGGGCGTCTACACCTTTGGCGATTCAATAAAACGCGATACATGCAAAATCATGTCGTGCCAAATAGAGAATCGGGTCGTATCTCGGTAAATTTGTATGGATGGATGACTGCTGATGGTGTTGGAGACTTGACCTTTTTGCCACCACGAGCAACGGCATTAGATTATGTTGATGTTCTCCAAAATGCTATGTTGCCATCCGTCCGGAACGTTTATCCAGAAAATGAAATGAGTCAATTTAATTATTTACAGGATAACTGTCCCTTACATAAAGCAAGGGTAACACGTGCTTGGTTTGATGCACATCCGGAAATAAACTTGATACCATGGCCTGCAAAATCGCCAGATCTCAACTCTATTGAAAATATGTGTGGTCTTATGGTTCAGAGATGGTGTAACCGTAATGAACGAACAGCAGAAGCACTACAAGGGCACTGCAATGAGGTTTGGGAGGAAACACGTGGGTCTGATATCTGCTCAAGACTGGTGGGCTCGATGAGGGAACGTCTCCAAGCTGTTATAGAGGCAGATGGCGGCTACACAAGATTTTAAGAATTATAATTTTATAAAAGAATTGTATATATTTTTTAACAACCAAAGAATTAGCATTTTCACTGTCTCTTCTAGTTTTAGCCCTTGTCTCGCACTAAGCTATGGGTCGGCGCAATATGTTTTTCGTCGCTATTCATTTCTGTTATCCGTTATCTCAGTATATTCAGACCTATAACACGCATAGCTTCTTACGCATAGCATTTCACTACCTACTGAGTTTTTTTATTTGTATTAAAATATAATTAATCTACATTCTAATGTAGGATATTTGTAGACTATAAGACTTTATTTACGATATTCTAACTCTAAAGTATTTAAACATACAAACAGACAGAAAAAAAATATTTTTGGCTTCTATTAGTCTTATGAAGGCCGTCCATATATTTTTTTTTCCAAAATATCTTACAAATGTAACCTTGTTACATTTTTATTATAGGTATAGATAATTACTGTCAAAGGTTACGTCAAAATGATGAAGATAGCAATAATGACGTGTACTTGACGTGTCAAAAAATTAATGCTATGGAAAATCAACCTTGTTGTTAGTTGACGTAACACGCGAAATTCAACCTTAGGGTGGTAGACCACTTTCTTGGCCTACTGTACCTCGTGTGTTCGTAAGTTCTGAGACAAACTTTTTACCGAAAAAATAAAAAGTAAATGTTTCTGGTTGTTATTTATTTTCTGACCGATTTTGAATTTGGAATGTTAAGTTTTAGTTTAGTATATTTAGTTTTAGCAAATTCAATTGTTTATATTTTCTCGTGATGATGGACAATTGACAATACAATTACGGGAAAAAAATCGATGCATATTTTCCGCAATCTGAAGTTTTCCTGTAAGCCGTAACTTCGTCTAAGTACAAAGTAAGTACAAAGAGACAAGTTCTCTACAAAATCGCCAAAGAAGTGGTCGACCACGCTCTGTGAGGACGCCTGCGAACATCAAAATCATCCGAGAGCGGCTTCGCCGAAATCCATGTCGCACTTAGAGGAAACACTGCAGACAAATATTTCGCGCGTTTCAGTGAACACTGAAATATGATCTTAAGATAAAGGCCTATAGCCGTAGAAAAAATCGCTTTTTAAACGTTCGTCTTTGTAAGTTACGACGCGAACGTTAACCATTGCTGCTGAGACATAAAAATATCAGATACCAGAAAAATACGCTTCACCGACGAGACGACGAGAATTTTTACTGTCGAGGAAAGCCAACTGACAAAACAAGAAAGTGTACGCTAAAAGTAGCAAGGAAGTCCCAGATTCTGCACGAAATGTCTCGCGCACTCATCATCCAGAAGGTATAGTGGGGAGTTTCGTATGAAGGTTCGCTCCATTTCTGCCAACAAGGTGTCAAGGTGAAGGCCAAGAATTATCAGAGTGACATTTTAGAGCCTGTGGTGAAACCCCTGCCATGAGGCAGGGGTTTCACCACAGGCTGAAAAACCTAATCTTTATTGTGAAATAACGTATGAACGTTATTTCACAATAAAGATTAGGTTTTTCAGCAAGAGTCGGCGCCATCCCATATGGCAAAAAGAACCCAAACTTGGTTGAGAGAGAATGTGCCGGCCTTCATCGCGGCGAACGAGTGGCCCTCCTCCGACTCTACCTCAACCCGCTGGATTATTCTCAATGGGCTGAATTAGAGCTCTGGGCCTGCTGAAAGTCCCACCCAAACTTGGAGTTACAGAAGCGAACCCTAGTTCGAGGAGCAAGCGAATTTCGCTAGAAAAGATTTGTACCGCCATTGATGAATGGCCAAATCGTCTAAGGGCCTGTATTAAAAACAAGGGCGGTCATTTTGAATAAAATATATATTTTATTGTTGATTATTATCTTTTTTAGTAAATAGAAAAGATTTGAAAATTTTAGAAATACAAGTTAATTATTAAAAAAATAAAGCATCTTTTATTTCATCCCAAAACTTATGAACACACAAAGTACAAATATTTTTTCATATCATAATATATTCAATTAATAGGTATTTATTTATAAACACCTATTTATTAAAATTTAATTGCACAATTAAAGTATACAATTGGCGGACTTACAGCCATTTGGACAAACGTCCATTCAAACTTTCGTTAGTTTAAAGCGACATTACCCATACAAATTTGACATTCATTAGAGCCTAAAGGCGTCATTAAACCTTAATGGGCGTTTGTGCAACTGGCTGTGAATGTAATTAAAAAGAAGGTGGTGTTACATAAAACTAAATAAGCCAATGTAGATAGATAATAATTGAGAAACCCGATGGCGCAATGCTTAGCGCGTTCAGTGCGGAGATTAAGTAACTTGAGCAAGATTCGTTCATAATGGGTGAAGAAAAATATATCGCAGTCGTAAATATCCAATCCACACTGGCTCTGCACTTTTACTAGCAGTGAGAACGACAATAAGCAATATAATAAGAAAGAATCACCTGAAACAATAACAGGTCCGACACCCGTTAATATATCAAGCAGGTTAGACGAAGTCTTCCTTATAAGTTTCTCAGTATCTTCAGGTGGTTTTTGCGGTAATAGATTACAGGCGTCCCAAGGTTTATCACTGCGTTCCAGCGTTTGTTTTTCTAATGTCTCTATGCAGAAGTCTTTGACGAGGGTGTCGAATGCGTCGGTGGGGTCACACAATTCAGTGTTCGGATCTTTCATGTATTTCTGTATTTTTTCTTCTGTCGTCTCGTCCGCTACATATTTGCGGGGCGTATGGGCCCCCCGAGAATCAGCTGGCGGCGTGTATGGCGGCGGTGGTTTATCAGGTATCTCTCTGACGACGAGCAATTGATTTTGTTGTTGTTCCAATACCTTAATCTGAAATATCATTACATTACTTATTAAACGTTTGCTGTTAATGTAATAAAAATCTGTCAGTGTATTTAAATACACTTAAGTTTTTATGGTGTTTACAATAAATTTTTCCCACTTGGAGTTGGGAAGTATGATAACTGAGTGAGCGGCTGTTATTGACGGGCGTACTAATAGCTTGATGCAAATACCAACTTTCAGTATGGAGATCAAACATTAAACCATAACAGCTGTTTTTTTTTATTATGAGGGTATCATATATTTCCTTTTTAATATATGAATTAATCCAACGATATTTTCTTTCGGATTATTACTTAGTAAAAAAAAAATCCTTTAATTTCTCAATGGCATGATAAGCAAAATACATATAAAGTGACTTCTACGTATTTTCACGCTGTTACTTATGTTACTTCCATGAAATACATAAATCTTCCTAATATTATATTTAAAAACTCATATTTTTATATAACACGGACAATAAATATTTAAAAAATATTTGTAAAAAAATCAATAATATTAACAATGAATTACGACTTCAATCGATATTATTATATTGCGTTAAGTATATTTTGTTTTGAATCCAATGAATATTTCCATGGGAATATTGCATACCAATAGCCTTATAATTATTTATAAAGCAAAAATATAACACGCAATATATGCAGCAGATTTTTGAGTTATACACTACTAAAAATCATTAAAATCCACTCAGAAATACTTTAAATAAAAGTTTTATCATATTAAACTACAAAAAAAAAGAAAGTTAAAAATAAAGTTTAAAAAAAACTATTTCCTGTAAATTTTTAAGTTGGATTTCAGTAATTTTCATTATCGCTATGATAAATAAAACCAAAATTTGTGAAAAAAGTCGTTTTAGTAATTTTGCGTGAAGGAAATGAAGTTTTTTTGACTTGATTTTTTTTTATTATACCTTCCGTAGCTAAAATGAGATGGATTCTTAAATATAGTCTCTTGTAATTGGCTCACAAACTCGATTAAAAATATTCCAGGCCTATATCGATTTATTTCCGTTTTTCTCGTATTTGTATCAGGCTATAACTTTTGTGGTACAAGACACGCAGGTAAAGCGCAAGAGATTGAAGGCGGCTCTAAATTTCATAGAAATATAGCATTTTTGACGTTTCGAGTCTAGCAATATACATTTTAATAGAACAAAATGCGGACTGCTTATAAGTAAGCGCTTATTAGACTCACATTAGGACTTATGCAATACTAACTAAGCAGGCATGCACGACATACACGAATTAATAACAAATTGTTATTTCTCTTGATTTTTTATATTATTTAACAGTAAAATTAAATTACAGGCCGCAACTTGATATGAGTCAAAAACCCTAACCCTATCCTTTTTTATAAACTCTGAGCGAACACACTTGATATAAACGACGTAAAAGACGATATTAATCATAATGTACTTAAATATTACAATAAAAAAATCAGTGTCATACCTCTCTTTCGATGGCCAACTGTTGCCTGCGCAACTCTTCGGCTTCAGATTGGGATGTTACAGACACAGAAGTTCTGCTTGCACAGATAGGCTGACTACTAACACTAGACGCATCTGCAATTAAATGTAAGATACACTGATTCTCCATATTCAATAATTAAAATCAATATTGCCAATTTCACACAAAAATAAGGGTCATAAAATATTCTTAAAACAACTTTTGAATAAATATCAAAATATTATCATCAAATTAAATCCAAACAATGTTTAATAATAATATCAAGGGTACATGATAAATTAAGTTTATGATGGTTAAGTGGTATACCTGAGAGAGAAGAAGATGATGTATCTGCGGTTCCCCATAACGATAAGTCCACACCCTGGTTGTCATTACCAGCCGCTGCGCCCGCCGGCACGGGTAGTGGCCCTGTTGGGGCTACCATCACCATTTCCTTTTCGAAACACAAGTCAGTTTCGCTAGTCAAATCATGAATACACACAGGTTCTTCCATAAGCCGACACAACCGATCATTCGATGTTGTCACTCTATTATCACTTATCACTGTAGGCAAACTGTGACTAGTGATTTCAGTTTGCTCTAGCTTACAATCGAACGATGTTTCCATTCCCACTGTAGTCAAACAAGCGTCATTAATAGGAGATTGCATTAACTTTTCATCAACAAGTCCTTTATAATATTGGTCTAATTCTTCAACAAGGCTTCGAGCGGTAGATGGACTGCTACACTCCAAATCTGCATTTTTAATTTGATTTATAAATCTTTCTACATCTGTTTCATTCACACTATGGTTAGTGTTAGTCGAATTAACAATATTCCTGAGAGCTTCTTCGTTGACTTCATACTGTTTGTTGCTACTAAATATTTCAGGTACTGATAAATTATGGAATAATATGTTTAAATAACCTCCGTCGACCATTACAAAATTTTCGGCTGCAGTGTCAGTGGATTGAGTGGCAACCAATTTACCTTCACAAGTTTGGATACATTTCTCGGCACTGGTTATGTTGATAGTGGCAAGTGTTTCAGTCAGTTGTATATCAGACTTCTGTCTTGATGCTGAACTGTCTTCACAGCCGCTGCTGGATAGATCAAAACATTTTAATGGTGTTGTATTGCGGTCGGCTACGTTTCTTTTTAGCTTTTTCTTTCCCAATATGATTTGATCAACATCCACATTAGTTTTCAATTTGAGCTCAATATTTTTCTTTGTTTTCAAAAGAGCCATTTTACGTTTTTCGGACTGAGTCAGCAGTGCTTTCCGCATACGTTGCATTTCCCCACATTCATGTTGCAATTTGAGAAGTGCACCACGTTGTTTCTTTTTCAAAGTTGAAATATCTGTATTTTCCTGTTTCTTCTTGTTTTCTAACCACAATATTTGAGATTTGGTAAAATCTTTGAGAGCATCTTCTCTCATTTTTAATACGAATAATAAATTTTTCGCTCGCCTTTGTTCATCACGAATGAGCAGGTTGAGCTGGAAGGAATAAACAGCTTGGTAGTTAATTAGCTTTTCTATAACAAGGTAATTAACAAATATTGTAAACAAATAATATACACTATAATTAGATAAGACAAACCAACATTTGTCTAAATCCCAATCAATTAATGATTTAAGAATGCAGTTAACTCATTGTCAGTAAATGTTTACAGTTTGCAACTTTAAAGAATACCACTTACCAGACAAAGACTCTTGGATGCCATTGTTTCACAATCATCAACATTTGCGCCGTTTTCAAGTTTTGAAACGAAAGAGCCATATTCCAAATGATTCACACCAAATTCAGGATTGTTTATCAAACTCTCAACTTTTTTATCAGAGAAACAGGTGTCTGTTAAAGAACAACTCTCTAGGTATTGCAATGATTCAAAAAATGAATCAATAAAATTAAGTTCCCTTTGAAACTGTTCACAAATGTATTCGTTTTGTAATAGACCGTTGTTAATTTTTATTGTACTGATGATGTCTGACGGTTTCACCAATTTATTACTATTAAGTACATAGGAACAATTAAGAGTTTGTAGCTCGTTTAAGCATTTAGTGTACTCTATGTTTGCATTACGCTGGTCAAATGAACTATCGTGTTGTTTCTGTCGTTTCATTTCCTTTTCAAATATTGATACCACATTTATAGGATACGCTAATGGACTAGGAGACTGATTAGAAATTGTTTCACTATTATTACCGACAACATGAAAGTTTATCTTTTGCCTGGTTGTGCATGTCACAGTTGCATGACCAATAAAATAGGAACCTTTACAAAAGTTGGGATCCTTGATGCCTTCATCCTTATTTGATGTGATCTTCAGTGATGGAACATGAAGATTTGGTAATGATTTACTATGAAAATCAACAAACTCTTCTTTGGCGCCACTCTTATCTTTCGTTAATGTAACATTTGGTACAGCAAGACTATCAAAAATTTCTTCAATAAAGTCAGTCTGAAGATTACGTGTTTCAACACACTTATATAATACATCTTTTTCTTTCTCGATTTGAGATTCTTTTGCCATTTGGGTCTCTTTGTCTTCGGTATTTACCAGCAAACAAGTGGCTATAGTTACATCATTTGAAAAATAATCTTTTTCTATTTCTGTACTACAATCTATTTTGCCCAACGACTCCTCAATCATAGGAATATTTATAGAATTTTGGGACTCACTTTCATGAATAGAATCTTTAAGATACTGAGCATCAAGTGGAACATGTATTACTGTAACAGGTTTGTGTTTCCCAATCTCTTTTAAAAATGTTGCAGTACGTGTAGGTGATTTAGTTCTTAATTTTGCTGGTGGGGCTTTCTCTACTGATGTTTTATAATTATTATTGGTTTTCACATTTTCTATAAATTTATTTTTGTTTACTAAATCACTTTCTCTTGAAGTTTCTTGATTTTTACTTAGACTAATTTTTGAAGGCATTTTCCCACTTTTTGACCTAAATGAATCTAAAATAACAAATAAATTGAAAAAGTTAATATATATCATAAGTGTAAAACTAATACTGAAGTTTGACTCAAAAAAAATAAAGGTGCTTAAACGCGGACATAATAATAATTCCTGATGACAGCGACGACATCTACTTATCTGACGCATTCAGAAATAAGTATAAACTGACTTTGCCGGGGTGAACGAACCAGTAATTAGCCTTAGACAAAAATGCACAGATTGCATTAATACAGAGGTCACACTGAAAGTAGAGGGAATATAAAAAATTAAGGACACAGAAAACTCTTCTGATTTTTATTGCTTCTTGAAGTAGTCTCCATTTCTTTCTTAGAACCGTACCATGACATCATTGAGTGAAACAGTAGGCTCACTCTTCTTCAGTGGACCTCTACCACGCCTTTTTAAAAAACATCCACTTCAGCATTCATAAAACGAAGACCTTTTTTTAATAAATAATAGCAACACTATTATAAATGCCAAGATCTAGCGATGGAGTGCATTTACGCTGAGACTGCAGTTAGTATTAGTCAAAAGTCATATTATTAAATAGAGACAACCTAGTATGAGGTTCAATGGGAGTAATATTAACTACTAGAAGATAGTAGCTTTGGATTGATACTAAAATTGCAATTGTAGCGTAAATTTACTCCGACGCTAAACCTAATATTATTAATAATTAATAGCACTGTAAATGTTCAAGTAAGTATGCATATTGACTATGACTAAGCAAGCATGCCCGAATCAGTTTGATATAAAACTACTTTTCTCTCAGATATCATCATTGGCCATACAGCACTTATCATCAGTAGTCGCCGTAGAAGGAAGTCCTTTTCGAAAATAATTTAAACAAAAATTATCTCTTGTACATAGTCAATTCCATTCAATTTCTTTCATGTAACACTTCCATAATTTAATTTCGATGCATAATATTACCGCCAACTTATAAAAACAACTGACATACAAATTCCCAAAATATATCTAATTGGATATTTAACTAATTTTTCACAAACTCATTTTTATGGCATAAAACTTTTCAGTGTGACCTCCGGTTTCAATATTGTAAAATAGTATGGGTATTTTAATAAAAATTGAACATTAGCCCTAAGGTTTAAGAGAATGATCGTAAGTTGTATGTTTGTTACAACAATGCTGACAACATTACTAGCTTACCACTCAAAGTGACCCTGCTGGCGGAAAGCTAGTTTAATATAATAAAAGGTTTAAGACTAGTAAACCATAAAAACTTTGTACAGTTAAATTCCATATTGAGAAGAAATATAAATTTATAAAAACACACTATGCATTACACTACTTATAATAGTTTGACCATAATTCAATAAACAAATTGAATTATGGTCAAACTATTGGTAAAACATTGTAATAATTATGATATTATTATTGAATAATAAATAAAATTTATAAATACCTTTCACTGGACGTGTTTTAGAAACGTCTACAGACGGTTTATTCAAATTAGTATAATTACTTTTAAAGTTTACTTTTGAAACATTCAAATCTTTCCTGTTAGTAATAATATTTTTGGCACTTGATTTACTTTCCTTAGAATCTGGAATAAAAGTAAATGTAAAATAAATAACATGTAAATAATATACATACAGTAGTTCTTCAATAATTGATACAAAATATGCTCAGTATAAATAATTGCAATGAAATTAATAAAAAAGCATAATAAAACTATCCAAGACAGAGTTACAAAATCCTGAATAAATGATTCTGCATCAGTAAGAAGTCAAATTCTAACAAAAATTCGCATTTGCTTATTAAAGTACATAAAATAAAAGTTATGTCTGCAATTAAGGGTTAAAGACAGTAGCAGCTTTATTATTCAAACTAATAAGACTAGTTTTACTAAGACATACATATACATTGAAATATAAAACAATTCGCTGTTGCAATTTCAGATTTAAGAGTTCAGCACTAGCTGTACCTACAAGCATGTTGCAAGCAAGTGACTTTGTGACAGCAACAATTGGGTTATTAAACATTCAGATAATTGAGGTACTCCTGTACATAGTTAAGAATCACCTCAATCTCTTTTATGTCATTATCACTTATCAATACTCCACAGGTTCTTTCTAAATTCAATAGCTGTTTAAGTTAATTTAAATATAATATAATAACTAAATTTTGAATTTAATTTTTTGCTTATGCAATAAGTGCTAATATCTTTAATATATCCAGGAAACCATTTTCATCAACCATTATCAAAATGATGTAGTAGTTCCTGAACTTTTATAATATAAAAGAATATACTAGCAAATAAATAAATACAATATATATCCAAATGCAGGTTCAAGAAGACAAAACTATATAAATGAATCTAATGTTTATAAATTCACCTCATCATCATTTTCATTTATAAATTCAACCATTGGTTCTTTGATATTGTCAGATCTGAGAAGCATAAATACAAACCTACCACATGCACAACCATGACTAAGTTTTAAAATATCTAAATTAAATCTGATTTACAAAAAAAACTTGGTAAATATGAAATTCATTTTGAACTACATACTGTCATATGGTAATCTGCATTTATTTAGAATTTGTTTTCAAAACAAATGAAATTTTATTTAATATAACAACCTCTTTATTCAAGTACACTGCTAACAAAGTATCACTCTCTGAGGTGCCTTAGTTTGATTCCAAGTTGGGTCAATGTAGAAGATTAACTTTTCTATGTGGGTGTTGTATAATATTTATATTATTATATTGTTGTATATTATTAGGTAACACATTTTAGTACTCACATTTTGAATAACTTGATAATCTAGACACAGATTTTTGGGACACCTCATCATCATTTTTCGCTTTAAATTCAGAATCTTTATTTGGCGTTTTAATATTATACAACCTTTTCCTGTCTCTTGCTGCAAAAAAAAAAATCATTCACAAGCATTGAAAATTTACTGAAAAGTAATATCTTTAATATTTCTGTTGAAATGTATTGTCATCTCAAAGTTTAGTTTGATGAGCACCTATATTTATTTACTTCCAGTACTAATAAATACTCCTCCAATTAAATAAAACCAAATCCGAATCAACTATGTAAAAAAAAAAGACATTTTTTGTATTTAAAAAACCATTACTGTGTAACAAACAGAACTGATTTGAATGTAATAAACAAATACTCACAATTATAAGAATTTGGGGATCTATATGTATTTAGCTGTATTATCTGTTCATCATTTTTATGTTTGGCTTCTGATGCTTTATTACATTTTTTCCTCTCCCTCGCTGAAATACATCATACTTTACATCACAAAATACTTTTCCAAGTTACCACATTTAATGTGAACATAATGAAAAAAATAGCTAACTAAATTCAGTATCACTGTGAGATTGAGACATTATATACATACAAAGTTTAGTGCATGGATCATTTTCATCATCCTCTATTATGGTGACAATTTTTCGTTTAGGAAAACTGGAGCTCATCGTGTATGGAGGTGCTACCGTGTTTGATCTTAGTGACCGACTGGTTATTAAAGGAGAATCGCCAAGGGTAACGACGCGCCGCAACCGAGGTTGCAATGGTTTAACTTTTTCAGGCCATGACACTGAAAAATCTATCTGTTATATTAAAACTTCTTGGTGATGCCCTATTTAATTATTTTACAGTTTTTTAATAAATGAGTACTTATTCCAAATAAACCTATACTTATAGCTGCTTGTAAATTATTTTGAATAATTTCCTACCTGCAGAATCTATGTCAAAATTTGGGAGTTTGGTGTACTTTATCACCGTATTCTTGTTCTTTGTGGCAATGGGAAATGGAGAATTTTCAATATGCAAGATAATCCCGTAAACCCCATTCAAATTTGCATCAATGGTGGGTGATGCTGAAGCATCCATTTTTATACACACCGATCAAAAAAAATAGTTTATTACGTCGCATTCATATTTATTTTTAAAAGCTTGACGATGAGTGCTAAACGCAAATATGTTGTTGTTAGGGTTAGGGAAGTTTTAACAAATTTTCACTGTATTATTTGGAACATTTTTGTAAGCTTTTTCATGCTTTTTGTTGTACTCTATGATTTTTGTTGTCAGTTTTTTACAATGGTGTTTTTTTAGCAGACCAACTCTATGGTCAGTATTGCAACAGGAGAAAATATTTCTCCAAACTAGTGATTAGATTTTTTATAATCAATAAGCTTATATGATACCTCAGTTCACGCTATAGCAAAATGTTAGTTTTGTTTAACCGATTTATTATTGCGTTAAACGTTAATTAACGTAGTTAACATTACGACTAACGGATTAACTTATAAATGAACTTATAACTTATAATGGATGAACGTGGATGGCTATACAGGAAGAGGAAGACCAAAGAAACGATGGACGGATTGTGTGAAAGATGATATGGTGAGAAAGGAAGTTACTAGTGAGATGACGTCAGATAGGGAGATATGGAAGAAAAAGACATGTTGCGCCGACCCCAAATAAAATTGGGATAAGGGCAGGGGAATGATGACGGATTAACTTATAAGTTAACGGACTCGTTAACTTCCGTTAATTTACGCCAAGTCCGTTAATCGTTAATCCAGTACCTAATATTTACCAAGCACCTTGCCACAACGATGATGATGAGGAAGAAGACTTTTTCAATTCTGTCACTCAGTCTAAAGAAAAACCTAAGAGTCACAGATCTTTAAAAATTAAAGCTCAAAATCTCGTCAAAATATGGCTTGACATGAAATGAATCGACGCTTTCAACGATACAGCATTCCTTGGAGAACAGATTTTTATAACAACCAACAACTTTAAGCGATTACAGAGATAGACTAACCGGTGGCGCCATTCGTAAACAAATTTAGTGCCGTGTAAGCAGAGAATTAATATGCTAAATGAACTTTACAAGATCAGTTGACTGTATTATATATAGGCATAATTTTATACGCGTGGTGTAGTTTCTTTGAGCAGAAATATTTTTCCCTTAGAATACTTCTTTTTTTAAAATTTATTTATGACACAAACAGTTCATTTCAAATTTTATTAAATGCGAAAAAGACATTGATTGTTACTAAATTACTTCTGTTAATCTTTTGTTTATTCTTTATTATTACTTCTGTTATTAAATATTTATCTATACAAATTTCCAGGCAAACTTTCATCCCCTATTTTTCGCGATAAAATGTAGCCTATGTCTTTTCTTAAAGTTAAGTCTATTTACTATATTAATTTCCATTAAGGTGGGTTCAGTTGTTTAGGCGTCTATGCGTAACAACACTTATTTATCTTACCTTAAGCTATCGATACTTTTAATACGATTCTAAAATCTAGCTAAGTATCGATACTAGAACCATACGCTGATCAAATTAGAACTATACCGAGTTTGCCAAAGCATATGCAGTGATATTTACCAACTATATAAAATCATCATATAAAATATAGCATTTTATAATCTACAATAAATATCGATTATAAGTTTATTGGAAATTAACAATATCCCCGAAATAAATATCGAGTATACACAAATCGATTATTTTTTCTCAAGCCTATTCTTTATGAATTTTCCGGATCTCGGACACAGCAGTGCACAAGCGTAAACACGTTTTTCATTGCCGCCATCACGGACCTGAAAAAACCAGTCCGGAATAGAGAAAAGTAAAATCCCGGACGGTAAAATTCCTGACAGTGTACAGGCTAGCATTGCTTATATATGGCCTGACATATCGGACCTGAAAAAATCGGACCGCCGGACATGAAAATTCAGTGTAGTGCACAAGCGCCCGAAGGGTTGTCATGCAGAAATCTAGTAAGTACCGTAGCGACATCTAGTGCGATTTCGGGAACTAATATTTTTTTAAAACGTCCTCATAGTCACTGGAATATTTTGATGTTCCAGAAATTACATTTAAATTACTGGCAATACAATCTATTTTGTCTGTGGACCGCTATGGACAAAGAGCATTGAGGTGTGGGGTTTATAAATTCTCTTTGGAAGACTTTAAAAAAAAGTGATTGAATGAAATCTCCTAAAATTGTTGATGAAATTAAACATTTTTGCTATAATGAGTGCTAATTGTGAATAATTTGTTTTATTTATTAGTGCTTGATGTATTTACAATCATATTTATCTAGTTTTGAACCGGTAAAACTCTTGTGTGATGTGGTGATCATTTGAAATACGACTGTATAGTCGCATAGTCTCAGTTAATAAGTACCTATTGCTACATCTACTTATAACAAAGAGAACTTATCCACCTAAATAAGGTTCTTAATTGAAATGTGTGATTGATAAAACGCAATTAAAGACGTTTTCAGTTTATTTGAATGAAATTTTCGTAAAAGTAACAATGCAATCATTGGCAATCAATCATAGATTCAAAAGATAGGTAGTTCCGTAAAGGACAATGTGTTTTCCTCATTGACGATCACGCGTGTGTTTTTGTGTAGTGGTGTCGATTTCATTAGCGAGGATTTCTGATATTTTTATTGGTAAGTATCATAGGTACCTTTATTTACTTATGAAAATCGTCATATGGATTTTGGAAGCCATTTTATGTTGCTTATGTACATAATGGTGGTGATTGAGATAGATAGATAGCAGCGCGCAGCCTAGATGAAAATGCGCATGATAACTCGAAGTGCACTGGCTGATTGATTAGAGCTGCAAATATTGTCCGTCAGTGCATAAATGCTATTCATAGTGCACACACCCCACAATAGTTTGAATTGAGAAACGTAATATTGAAGTTCTGGTTACCAAATATATGAGTAACTTATAGTGTTTGTGGAGAACTTGATTTTGCGTGGTTGAACATAATAAAAAAAAAATGTTTTAGTTTATAAATTATTTTACATTTATTATAAAAATATGTCAAATGCTTTGGAAAATGTTTCCTATAAATATTATTAGTATTTTCTAATTATTGATTGTATTAAATACATTGTGCAATAGTGTAGACAGCCTAATTATAGATCAATAATTTTAAAAGTGGGGGTTTGTTTGGTAATAATCTTTGAAATGGGTTTCTATTGTATTTATGTTCCGTTATCTTATGCATGAAATAACTCTGAAAACTTTCAAATTAATTGCTTATGCAATTTTTATTTGTATACTATAAGATATTAAGAATACAATTTCATATTTTTTTGTAATTCTAACATACCTTACTTTTATAGTGAATATCTCTATATTATCATAATATATTATTTAAATAACTAACATTTCCATGGTACATGTAAAGAAGTTGATAAGTCCAGTTGTATGTTTCTTATTTTGTTGCATAAAATGCTTCCTGTACCCTCAGTTGCTAGGAAAAAATAGACAACTCTAAATTTACAATAAACTTTTTTAAGCAAGCTTCGGCTTTAGCTAATATTTTGAGAACTCTGAATAAAATATTATTTAAATAGCATACTTTTTCAAACATGTATTTATCAACATTTACCTAAGGATATACATAAAGCACTAATCAAATAATGGTTAGCTAGTGACATATTAATTTCAATATTTTTATTAAACAACAATAAATTATGAGCAATATACTAGATGGGCTTTCATAAATTTATCTCTTTTGAGTAAACAGTCTCCAGATTATGACAAATGACACCCTTTATTGAACTCTTTTAAATACTTGTATAAAAGAATTTGCTTAGTTTTATTATTTTTCTTAATATTTGACTTCCCAATTAATTCACTGAAGAGTTATCAAATTATTCACTATCTGAGTATATGATAAACTATGAAACAAATAACAAATTTAAAAATATAATCTGGCTACAATAATAAAATTATAAATTTCATTAGTTATTGCATGTTAATCGACAATCTACATCCAAATATATCATAATTATTATGAGGGCAGAACTAATTGTTTTTAGAACTGGTGTCTTGAGATCAGTATTTAAAAACCTAAAATTGAGTTTTAAAAATATGTGTCCTACATCAGCATGAACTTTGCAAGAAAATTTGTTTATGTATTTTGATATCATTTTTCAAATGTTTGTTCAAACAATTTAATTTTAAACATAGTTTTCAATACATAATCATTTTCATATATTAATAACATTTTTATCAGAGTAAATATGATTAATATTTTTTTTTAAAGTTTTCTGATCCTTTCTTGTAGCTGATCATTAGATATTCAACTGGTCATATTCATCAGGATTCTCCTCATCTATATCAGGATCAGTTAAGAATTATCCGTCTTTAAATAAATAAAAATATGTAAAGTAACACCTATTAGATCTAACCTAATTGCCAGTAGCTTTGTAGAATCAATATTTACTTAATACTCATATTTTATACACATACTCTTCATTTCCACATTTTTCATATTGATTGCTTAGAAAGGCATTTCTGCTGCAAAACAATTAACCCACAAATGACATCATACAAATATTGAAAATTTTATTTTTATTTATGTATCTAAAGTATTTGACAATTAATCTTTCAATTAGAGCTTTTTATCCAAACAGCCGATTGTTATCTGCCCCCATTATTGTAATGGTGTGATTTTGATATAGATTGTGTTCCATAGTGTACAATTATAAAAAAAAAATAAAAATTTTTTGTTACCCAAATACAGCATTTCTTATAATCTAAAATGTCTACACTACAGCAGAGCTGTCAAACTCAAATTTGAAGTGAGCAATTCTGTAAGTGGGCTGAGTCCAAATAAAACAAATTTCAAAAACACTTAATCATTATAGAAAAAAGTAAATAACCTACACACCCTCCTCAAGACACGCGCTACTCTTCTTCGTTTTTAACTACGGCAAAGGCAGCGACAGCAGTCTAAAATTTCTTAAGAAAAATATTCTTTCTGTTATATGTTGTAACTGCGGGCCATATTGATATACCTCACGGGCCGGATGCGGCCCTCGGGCCACAATTTTGACGAGACTGGCCTACAGCGATTTACAATTTATTTGCGATAAAAGCCAGTAATTTACAATATTGTCTGATATAGATTATTGTTGTACCTGTGCACCCGGCTAAATTTCGAAACAAATGTCGACCAATCAGAATAATTAAAGTAACTTCTCTTCAAGCAATCCACCAATATCCATGCGCTTAAACCCCGCTAAGTGTGAATGTGAGTCTGACGTTCTGTTGTCTGTACGTTCGGCAATCGTTGCAATAGGAAGATCTGCTTTGTGCAATTAAAAATTCATCAGGCACCAGGTGGAGCTAAGGTATATGTATATTGTTGGGTCGCCGGTTAGTGCGATACTTGGGCGTTCTGATTGGCAGATATTTGCTGCTATTCGAGCCTTATGCGTAGGTACATTAATGCGCCACATCAGTTGTATATTATTGTGCTTTCTTTTACTGTAAACAAACAATAAATGGCTGTAGGCATTTCAAATTATATGAGATGCTAGATTGGGGCTGTCTAATCCAGTTTAGCACAATATTCCACTTGTTTAGTACCCTCAAAAGAGATTAATGGAACTGCAAAAGCTATTAAAAATATATATATAGGATTATATGATCACTACTGCCTATTGTTGATGAAATGGTGCCATGTTGTCGCTTCGGTAGGTATTCTTATCTTACTGTAAATGAATTTTATTCTATACTTTTTCTGTATGCTGTAAATTAATATTGTTACCATACTCTAATAACTACATCAAGCAGTCTCAAGTTGAATATGTTCCTCAAAATAAACATTTTATTTGAAACATTAGTAAAATTATATATTAGAACGTCACCATATCTTGAGTATTTCCACCAATCAAAAGAATAAAGTTACTTTTAAATTAATTAGTGAAATCAGTATCTAAGGTTTCATTGATATGTTATATTTAAAAATAATTTACTTTAATCTAATTGATAATTTTGCGTAATTCAAAATTTGTAATTACTCTCTTGAAATGTAGTAATTATGCAAATGTAACTTTATTTTTTGGATAAGTCTATTTGTTAGATTAGCTAATACATAATATCCTTATTTATTGCTGTACTTTAATAAAATATCTGCATTTTTATATATTCTTTTAAGTTGGGGTGCAATTTATGAAGAATCATTTCAATTTATGTAAATAGTTAAACTAACTACCTGACTTGCTAAGTGATGATATTGATCCACTTGAGGAGTTTATGACCGACTCTTAATGGCTAATTCTTCATTGTTCATCAATAAATTATTTTATTAGTAGCAGAATGGCTGTGAAAAAGCACGAGCTGGTGCACGACAATCGCAATCAGCTGGACCTGACTGCACTGGCACAGTACATACAGTTGATGAATGAGCAACCACATTATTTGCCGCCACCAAATGAGCTGGTTAAGAACTGTCAAGATATAGTCAAATGTCTCGGTGAGTTTTTTACTATTTTATGTACATAAAAAAAGCTATTCAGGCAGTCCAGATAGCAAGTAAGGCTTCCGAAGTTTTCCGAAGGCATCTGAAGTTTTGCAGCCCTTGTTGCGGAATTACGCAGGCGGAATTTGTGGGATTGCAAATGCAGTTGAATCCATGATTTGAAAGAAATTTTTATTATTTTTAAATAATTTTTCTGCCATATTAGATTTTACAGACACATGGAAAAACGTATTTAGTGAAATATTAAACTAAGCCTATTTACAGTCTTATAAATCGGAAATATTTTTATTATTAGCTTGTAATTATCATCTCCAGCATTTACTCTGCTTTTAGCTGAGAAATAGAAATAAGGTTTATCACACCTAAGTATTACTTTTTACCTGAGTATTTGCTGTTAGATTTAAAATGTCAATCATTATTATTAAAATAAAATACTGTATTGAATAATTTAGAGTAGTGTAAATGATTTATAAATAAATAATGAAATAGTGGTCATTAGTACAGGAACAGAATTATTTCTGATTAAGCCCCGTATATATGAGGCAGTTAGAATTTTATTTTTATAGAAAATTTTAAAAACTGTGTGTTGACACTACATTATCTCTAAAACTATATTGTCATTTGTCATCATTATGCACCAGGTTAATTAATAGATGAGTTAATTATAGCTTGAACAATTTGTAATATAACATAGGTATATATAACATAGGTATATATTTTATATAAAGTTGAGAATTCTAACTATTATTCATCTCCGAAACAACGTATTTTTGTAATTTGTCCTTATTTCGTCAGCGAATTCAAAATCTAAGAAATCAAACTGGAACTACGAACTTATGGATCCAATTAAATAATAATCTGTATTGAATTATGGATATGCATCTAAAATTAATTATGTTTGATGAAATTTTGTTTTAGCTCGAGCGACGGGCAATGAAGAGCAGCTATGGGAATTGTTGCAATCTATCGAAGAATTTATCGTGCGCACAGTGAACACTGTCCATAGTAGCATCCGTCACGAGATCATTACGGCGATCCTCGATAAATTCTACTCTTTGATTTCAGATCCGCGTGAGTTTTGTAGATAATTTTGATTTTTTTAAAGACATGAGACGTCCTTTTATCTATTTACTGTGTTTTAATATGATTATATCGGTTATTGTAACTTTTTAACTGACGTGAAAAAAAGGATAGGAGGTTTTGAATTCGATTCTTTTTATACGTGTGTTTTATCTTAGTCGGTAGTGGACTGATTCTAATGATTCTCTTTTGATTCTAATGGTCGTATATAATACTTTGTTTTTATATAATAAAAAAAAAACTGGAAGAAATATATCATCTAAATTATCTCGACGATGTCGTTATCGCTGAAACGTAAAACAGGCAGTCGGTCAAAAACATGCTATCAAATTCTCGTCTGAAATTAATTAATTAATTAATTCTTTTTAGTTTCAACGATTATTTTAACAAATATATTCTTAAAATTATAACTGTAGATTAGAAATTTCGTAAAGTAAAAATGGATATTATATACATGTGAAACTATTATGGAATTTAAATGCATATTATATACATGTGCAACTCCATATAATGCTTAAAATTTCGAGAGGATCTGATACAGCGTTAATTAATATCTATAGAATCTGACGCCTGTCCCGCTACATCAGTCGTGCTGATTGTCTTGGACAACTCTGATCAAGAAGCGACTCTCTCTGCCGCACGTTGGCTTGTACAGCAAGGAGATAATGGCCCTGCCGGAGCTGGCCTTCGTGCCTCTTTGTCTTGCCTCTATCGTTGGATGTACGAATGGCACGGCACCCCAGCTCTTGGAGATTGGGTGTTGGCTTATATTAAAGCTCTTGAGGTAATTGCTGACGCAGTCATAGCTTCCGCCATATAGTTATTAAAATTTTATCTTTACTATTAAAAACTTGCTATATTTACAGTTGCCACATTTGACGTCTGTCACCAAAGCAATTAGTCAATAATAAAGCAACGATAAATATAAATTAATAATAGAGCATATCAAACACTAACTCTACATTACTCAAAACCTTATTGCTTAAGCCACGAGCGTGAACGTTTTATCAACATTTATTTGGAGGTTTAAAACTGCTATATTTTTAAAGCGGTTTTGTTGTTTCCATTAATGTTATAAATTAACATCACATGTATATTTTTACGAGTAAAACTAATGCATTCGCAAATTTTCTATATTAACAGATATATTATTATTTTTTTAAATTGCACTATTAAATCTTGCAATAATCTTAAGTGGTTACGATTTTTTTCAAATTTTATGTGCTTTAGATATTTACGAGCTAAACTTATAAAGAAAGACATATGATATTTCATATATATTGGTTCATTGAATATCTGAACTGATGTTTCAAGATCCCGATATTGTGATATTCTGATATAGCGCCGCGCCGCTGTAGTAAATAAAACAGTTTCGTCTTAAATATACGACGATGTAAGATAATTGTAAGACAATATTATCTTAAAAAGACAAGTCTGTGTTAAAACTGTTGTGACTACAGTGTGCGCCGCTCTAAGATGGAGGGCCAGTCACCGGCAGATAAATCGGTTTATTTGATCATATCGTTACATGAATTTTGGTTTCGTTTTGACAAACTTGTTAAACCTATATTTAACAGTTATTTTTTATATTCCGGGCCCTGTCTGGAAGGAAGCAAAATTGTAATTTATAAAGTTCTCGTTATGCATAAATTCTTGCCATCATATTTTCCGTACTTTAAATAACACCGCTGCCTTCCGGTGTTACAGCGCCTGACATCCACATTGGGTACTGGAGTGATGTATCCTTAGTATTTCAACACACAGAAATATCAAGCTTTTCAAAGCTCTACACATTTTTATCATGAGCTCTCCGTCTATAATTATCTAATACTTCGGAAGCCAAGATTATGAATTAATTTATTCCTGCATTTTGCACTACGAGTTAAAGTGTGAAGGGCCTGTTGTAAACTACGATATGAGAGGTAGATTAAAATCATCCACTAGCATACAATTACCATTCGAGCTGTTTATTAGTGAGTTTATGGAACGGAGAATTCAGTTGTGTCATCAGGAATGCGTTCTAGCTCAGAAGGTACGTATGCTGTACACAGACGCAGGTTCATCGAGGCAGAGGAGGTTAATATATCTTTATAGTGGCAAGCATGTATTAAGTTGATTATAAGTGGTTAAGTACGTATAAACACACGATCTTAAAAATGCGTTACTTATGTGTGTAAACGTGGCATTACCTTTCTATATGCCGAGATGATTCGTCTAATTCGCCGCCGCTCTCACTTGCTACGAACCTCCGATTTTGTTGCTACTTAAAGCTAATTACAACATCTTAAATACATCATAACGGCCATCACATATTTCTCCATCAAAAAAGTCCCTCTCAAGAGTATGTATATAAATAATCATTAAAATTGTAAAATATTTAATATAAAAGTAAGCTTAGTTAAACAACATATTCATTGCAGTCTGGAGACTGTTCTGTGGAACATTTGTAACCTAAGGCTATAACTAGGTTACTATTTTTGAAAAAAAATGAGCATTCAATTTGGTATCACCATAAGTAACAAAATAAAAAAATAATTATAATTATAACCCATCGAGAATTAACTTAATTTACATCCCAGCTATATATGTCCCAGAAGTTTCAATGGTTTGGATGTCTACAATTTGAAAAAAATAGTTTCAAAGGAATTTTCGTAAAGTTTAAAGGAAACCAGTTTTTTTTTCAAATAACTCAAAAAGTAACGAATTTACGAAAACACTGTAACAAAAATGAAACTTTTTTTTTTGCTGAACATTTTGGTCATCTTTTAATTTATATAGCTTAAATAATGAATGAGATATAGTCGTATATATATTTTATATGCATACAAGAGGTACCTTTTTAAGCCCTTCAACTCTTAAACTTAGGGTTTAAAAATTATATGATTCACATGACATAGTAACCAGGGATGTTAGGGAGCTCAGTAATCGAAACTTTCGGATATCAGAAATAAAAAAATATCTGTATCCGTAACCGTAACCGAAATAAAAGTTTGTTTATAGAATATTTTTATTTCTATTAATCAAAGTAATCATCAATGCAATCAATGTATCCTTGCCAACGGACGGGAGGCAACAAATTCTTTAAAGACATTTTGTACTGCCTATCGGGTATTGAATTTTTTTCCCGCCGAGAAGTTATCCAAATTTTGGAAAAAGTGGAAGTCTGTAGGCGCAAGGTCTAGTGAGTGCGGCGGTTGACGGAGAACTTCCAACCCTAGTTCTTGTAGCTTGGAGAATGCTACTGTGCAGTATGAGGTCGCGCGTTGTTGTGCAGGAGCAGTGGAGCCGAACGATTGACCAAAACTTGGGTCGTGCGAGCTTCTCCGTCATTGTGTGCAGTTCTTCACAGTACACATCTGCAGTAATGCTCGTCCCGTTTGGTAAAAAGCTGTGATGAATTATACCCGCGTCAGACCACGAAACAGTGACCATCACTTTTCTAGGGGTATGTTACTTTAGGGCATTGCTGAAACAGGGTCCAACCAACTTGCTGAGCGCTTAAGATTGTCGAACAGGATCCTTTCCTCGTCATAAGTAACAATGGGATTCAGGATTCCTTCATTTCTATGCCTGTTGAGCAGTGCAAGATACGTCACGACGCGTACTTCGAGCTGGCAGTCATTGAATTCGCGGGGTACCCATTTGTCAAGCTTTTTTACTTTGCCAATTTGACGCAAATAGACCAATATTGTTTTGATGCTAACGTCGAAAGCTGGTGCTAATTCTGTCGTAGATTGAGTTTCATCAGCTTCTACAATCGCTTTTAATTCGTCACTGCCGACCAAAGTTTTCGGACGACCAAGGGAATAATTTTTTAGGTCAAATTTCTAGAACGGAAGCTGGCAAACCAATATCGGGTGGTGCGTTCGTTTGTAGTGTTCGCTCCGTAAACGTCGTTGATTTTGCTTGCCGCTTGTGTCGGTTTGCTGCCATGACGGTACTCATACTCCATAATTACTCGAACTTTTAACATACTCATAACGACGAAAAATGTTCAAATGTGTTAAAAACAAAACACTATGATCCATGATTTTAAAATAAAATTATCATCCAAAAAAAAATATTTTGATTTGAAATGGCCAGTACGGTACGGTTAAAGTAGAATGCAAAATGTTGTTATATACCATATTCTATACTCTAATGGAAAATATGAGTTTAGTAAGTGAAGAATGGGAACATAGAAAATGCTTTTTTCAAGATATTAAAGAGTTATACGGTAAATAACCAATCAAGCATGCAGATTACTGTAGAGGTCTATAAATTCTATTCTAAACTTTGAGTACATTGTCTTGAAATAAATTTAGCTTGTTTAAAATTGACCCTACAAAATGTCTCGTAATTCAGTGTGCCTCTTGGCAAAGGCCTTCTCCAATAGTTTCCCCTGAGTTAAATCCTTCGCTATCTTTGTGCAATGGTATCCAGCTGTGAATTTCTCATACGTTGTCGTCCTCTGTTGCATTTCCCATCTCTCGGATCACCTTTACTCCCTTTTTTACATATTACATGGAATCATTTGACCTGTCCATCTGCATTTTTGTTGGTATATTTATGAGTTAGTATATCTGTTAATTTAATTATTCTTTTATTAAGCTGCTTTTCCACCTATCTTGTTTCTTTAGTGCTATCATGCATGGAATGTGGGTTGTGGTGAGTGACCAGGATTCACGCCCATAAATAATATCTGAAAATATACAGGTGTTGAAAGTTCTCTTTTTAGCTTCACACTCAACCCCTTATTTTTTAATATTTTTTTTAGTGACAAGTATTATTTTCACTTATTCGCTGTTCTGCCGTTTATTTCTTTATAGTTTTGGTCAATTTCGTTTTGCCGCTGTTCATAGTTAAAAACCTATGTTAAAAGTTACGGACTACAAAAAGAATGCTAATAACTAAAACGACAAAATATTTATTAAAAATATATCGAAAAGTGCGGTTCTTTAATTATGTTAAATAATGTGCGGGCTGATTTTATTTTAAAGTGCCAATATACGCTGCTAAGCGCAAAGAAACAAGAAGAACAATACAATATTGCAATTGCGAGAACAAATACAATATTTTTTTTTTTAATCTCAATCCAGGAGTTGACAATATTTCAAAAAAAATCATCACATATTTTAATTTAATTATTGAGTTAAAATATACCCTTACTAATCGTATATCTTTTAAACAACTTTCAATGCATTTAAACGGTATTCATCAATAACATTTAAATTTTACGCGGCAGTTAATTTTCAAATTGACAGCTGGCTGTTGACAGCTAACTAGGCATATCGATTCACTTTGAAAACAATTGATTTTTCATTGGATTCAAATTAATCTGACTTTGTTATATTTGCAGTAATATTTATATGTTTTTTATTAATATTATTTTAATAATATTCTCTTGGGTTTGTTGCTAATGTCGCGATTAATCGAAAAAATATCTTTCAACGCTGATTAAATTGTGACTTTATGTTGATATGACCGATTAAAATATAGTTTATTAAAAATTAAGTAACGTGCCTATTGTCAATGTTATCATGCTGTGCTGTCATTCAGAACAATGACGTCATAGTTTTTCTAGTGTCATTTGTAATCACGTGACTCACAGTTTAAAAACCATTAATTCATACTCTATTATATAAAGAATTTAAGTACTTTTTAGTTCTATAAAATATCCGTAACCGAAACTATCAGAAACTACCGAATAATTCGAAAAGAAATCATATCCCTAACCGTAACCGAAATCGATATAACAATTCTCAAATATTCATATCCATAACCGTAACCGAAATAACATATCCTTAACATCTCTGATAAAAGCTTAGTTAATTCCCTACAAAACTATATTTTAATGAATAAATAGCTTGAAATGTTATGCGTTATCGTTAAAAAAAAAAACAAATATTAATTTTAAGAAATAACGTTGCAATATCAAAGAACTCCCAAATTTTGAGTTTTAAAGCATATTCTTTCGTGTACGCTTTATACATTGTGCAAAAAATTGTGTTGTTGCAATCGCAGAATAACCACATATAAATGAGTAATTAAACGAGTGCGTTGTTTGTCATACTCCAACCTAACCTAACCTAATCAAATATGGTTCAATACGCTTTATGGTTTTTATTACTTGCCACAACGCGTTGTGGTCGAATAGCATAAGAGCCACGACACGGATTTCGGTATGTGGTTATTCTATGAATGACACAACGCGTCGTGAGCGTTTCCATAAGAGGTAAAACATGAATTTCACTATTTGGATATTTCACTGTGCGTTGTGAACAATGTTTCGCTCAATGATCGATTTCAATCTTCGCGCGTAACATATAAGTACATCCGTAAAAATGATATAGGTATTATACGTAAAAGATAGAGAAGAAAAGTAATTTCCCGAAGGAAAAAAAGAACCTCTGTTGATAAACACCAGCTAACGGTTCATTTTTAAGTGTATCTTCATATTTTAACAGTTCGCTTCAGTTTCACAGAAATCAGAGGTATAGCACTATTTTTATGTTCAATGACTGGACTATAGATATGTGCTGTATTTGTGTCACATAAATGAATCTTTGGGGATAATTTTTTCCAAGAAACATTTTATCTGGATCGCCATGATAAGTAAATTCTAAAATCATTAATTTTATATGTGATATTTTAATTATATGTCAAATAACTTTTGTCTGACGGTAATATGAAAACTTTCGTCGATAAGAAAACAAGAATCACTTGCAACTTAAAACTTGATACATGACGTTTTCTTGAGCGGTAGGTTTTTATAATTGTTAATAACATGAATAAGATTTGAACACTTCGCTGTATATCTAAAGAAAAACCGTAATACATAACGTAAGTATACAATAATGTTAATTTTTACAAGGAAATTATTGTAATGTACTTATTGTTAATATTTTTGTCAGTGATAACAAATGATAAGACACGAAACACTATCGTGTGTATAGAAAAATATTACAATGTAAACATCATTTGTACAGCGTCATAGTATAGCATCGTCATTTAGCATTAGTAGCTCGGTGGCGTAGTGGATAAGCGCCGCGACCCGCGATCGTTAATGTTAAGCAACTTTGGCAAGGGTCAGTCACGGGATGGGTGACCAAAAATTATTATCTCAAGCTGCTTCGTGCTTCGGAAGGCACGTTAAGCCGTTGGTCGGCTGCATTTGCAGTCGTTAATACCCTCCATCCACATTGAAGCGGAATGGCCAATCCTCCTTAACCATCCATAAGGAAAGCCCGATTCCCTGCAGTCGGGACCTAAAAGGGTTAATGATGATGATGATGATGAAATATCATGGACTCGTACTTTAATAAGAATAATACCAACAATTACCAGTAGCTATGGACAATGTTAGAAATATTTTTTTGTACCTTCAATAAGAATATTCCGACTATAGAGTATACAATGACAGTAGATGTAGCATCAACTAATAGAAAACTTCGTTGTTCAATGTCGTATATATAATATGTTAAGTAGTAATACAAATATTTCTTAAATAAAATAGAGGTAGAAAGAGCATAAACAAAAATTATAAGGGCTACTTCATAGCTAATTTTTTTATTAAATCTTTCATATTTTGTTATCTATCAATTGTAAGTTATTCTTTACTTCTGATTGCCAAGTATCAAATCTCTTCTATATAGTGTCCGCGAATTTATGGAATGTGTATGTGACTTCATGTTCCCTAGTTAAGGTGAGCGTTGCATTTATGTTATTGTCTCTTCTGAATTTTAATAAGTTCTATGGATACTGCGCTCGTGTGAGTTAGGTAGATGCTATTTGATATTTTTGTCAGCGCTTTGCTTTGGTTCCTTGGGTGTTTGTATTTCAAAACGGTGATCACTGCACTCTACTTATAATTGGAACAAAAACACTTTAAGTTGATACTTTATTTACGTTGATTACGTTAACGGTGACAAGGTGATTTCAAGTTTTCGACGAAGATATATTAAATTGTGATTATGTTTAACCCCTGAGACTGCCCGTCAACGAGGTGCACGGTATAAAAAACATTAATTTTTGGAATTTAAAACCTTTTGCAATGTTATTTTAAGATTAATTTTTTAAGCAGTATACCTCATCATCAGGGCTTAAAATCCGATTTATTTATTGAACCGGTTTTAAACTGGTTCACTAGAAATACGGTTTTATTCATTAACCGGTTTATATGTGACTCCAAGCAATGATCTCACAAACTTCGGAGCGGTTTTTAAGTGCGTATACTCATATCTATAACTTCCATACACAGGATAAATAAATGTCTTAGCTTTAAAATTGTATATTCGCATTAAAAAATAATAACATTGCTCTTTACGAACCAAGCGAATTAACCGGTTTTTATTCCATCCGAATTTCACTCCGCATTCAGTTCCGATCCGGAACGGAACATTACAAGAGAACAGATTTTATCCAAATTGAAACAGTTTATTATGAACCAGTTTCAAGCCTTGCTCACCAGTAAGTTAAAGATTCATAGACGTCAAATGTGGCTTCGAATGACCCAACTTGGATAGAAACAAATTGTAACACTATTATTTTTATTTTAGGAAAACGAGCGTTTCGACATTTTAATTGAGGTGTCAGTAGACAATTTAAGTCGTCTCTTTTCTGCTATGGACAATCCTGTCGCCTTGCGTCAGTCAGTTGCTAATGTAATATTTCACATTCTGGCATCGCTCCGTGAATCTACTGAGGCTCTAGACAGGGTAGGGTTTTTTTATTTTGGAATATTTACGTTAAAGTCTTAACAATTTGATGTTAAGCATAATTTTATCGACAGATTTCTAAGCACGTGGGCCGCGTTCTTGTGAATCTCGCTGCTGATAGTGGACAATGGAGCCGACAACTATTGCAGAATGTTGTCGATATACTGTCAGCAATGGTCGACCGGCTAGTTGAAAATCTCAAAGGAGAAGCCCAAGATATGTTTAAAGATAAATACGCCAATGTCGTAAGTGTTTTTTATGAACATTAACTTCTTGACTGCATTCGCAGTAATATATTGACCTATTACGATTTATCCATAGATTCTATGCCTGGAGCGTCACATGGCATCTCGGGGTTGTCGCTATCTTCAACTGTTGCCGTGGCGTGCGCGCAATGTATGTTTGACAACTGTCAACACTCACGCGCCAATGCGTAAAGTTGGACTGTTGAACTTGGGCAACACTTGCTATATGAACAGTGTCATGCAAGCTCTACTCGTCACAAGGCAGTGAGTATTCTTTATTTGTTTATATCAAAAGGACAACCAACGAAATATATGTGGAGGTAACATTAAGAGCTGTGCTTTAAAGTTTTATCAGATTAAATAAAAGTAAGTTTTATACTTGTACCTGAATGAAGGATTGCCATTCACCCAGAACATCTTGACATCAGTTCTAATCGTCTACAAAGTTACTCGTATCTTGATTAATTGTTCTGACTTAAAAATGTATGTTATTGACTTGTTAATTATAATGTTTTATGTTGGGTTAGTGCATTTTGCGAAATCAAGTGTAAACGGTTTTACCTTATGAGAATGAGTGTGTGTTTTTGGTTTGTTGGATGCATAGAATCTGCTGTAATGTTGTCAATATCATTCTTGCTTACCTGCTTAGCGGCCGGTGTATTAGTGGAGCATTGCCATATTTTTTAGGATAACCTTTATTCGGCGTGTGACCAATGTTAAGTGGCTTTGTACGGATTGTAGATGGGCGTGTAGAGTACTTCACACTCTTCTTGTAAATAGTGCTTGCTCCAAATTTTACTGGTAGAATTTTATTTAATATTCAAAAATATATGTAGATAATTGCATAATCTCACAATTTTTTTTTTTTTCATAACGCGAATGCTATATTTAACACTTCGACTGTCTAATTACGAGTGTGTTTTCATATTTGGTTGATTCACCTCATATTTTGTTGAATTAGTTGGTTCATATGTGTAAAACTTTTTATATCAAATAAAACAAATATAGTAGCTTTGAGATCGGCTTATAGCACAGCCTTTGTTGCATAATAGACGCACAGTCAACAGAACATGATTAATAATTGGGATAGGTCGATTACTTTTTGGCTGTAGGTATCATAAATACTCATACAAAGATCAATATGAAAAAGACATTTTTCAGCAAAATATTTTCGGACTCGGCTGTAGGTTTATTGTGTTGTTTATGTTAGTAGTAATATTTATGCTACTCAATTTAGATTAAAGACAATCAAAAACATTAAAATTAATTTACCCTGCTACTGTTTAACCTATTGATATTAAACCTTATTTTACTCTTTAAATTCATAATAGTTTTTATTTTTTTAAGTTTTTACTTAAATTCTTATATGTTGTGTGTTGGTATTATAATATATTTAAAGTTTTCTACACTGTATGTTATTTCAATTCGAATGTTCTACCTAATATCCGAAAAAAACATAATGATCAATAAATTCAGAAAGTATGTCCATATTAATGTATGTTTCAGATTAATGATCTTAATTCAATCTACTTCGATCAGTAGTGGTCATGATACACAAAAATGAAATGTGAAACTGATTTTTATATCAAGTGTCAAATCAATTGAGGTAGAACTATTTGGACTCTTACTAATAGTACCGGTTATGTTAAGCCATAATCTTGCTTCTACTTCGCGAAATTAGGAGAAACTTGCTTGCCTTTACTATTAAATTAACTAATGCAATGTCTTTTTCTGTTATTTTTGCCAAGTTATATTTTGTTACAAATTGCGATTGTTTTAATAACAGTGTTTATTTACGTATACTTATTTTTCGAAATTTATTTTATTATAGTTGAATACGGAATTATTGTGTATAAAATATTATAATTACTTGGTTAATTTAACAATTATTTTTCTGTTATCCCTAATAGATTTAGCACTCATGTGGTGTTGAAAATGAATGCGGTTCCGTATTGGTCGAAGATGGGTGTGATGTTCGCTAAAATGATGCATTCTATCACGACTAAGTTGAATCCAGATGAGTTTTTCAAGGTCGTCAAACCTCCTTTTTTCACAAGGGATAATCAACATGATAGCTCTGAGTTTCTGGGGTGAGTTTTTACAGGATTATTAGTTTTGTTCATATGGGCATATGTATAGTTCCAGGAGGGGTCTGACGTCGAATTAAAAACGCCGCGATGGTTGCTTAAACTTTTTTTTAAATAATCATCTGCGCTTAACCTCATTGCCTAAAATTATGCGCACACGCATACACACGTATTCAAACAATGCGGATGTGAACATGCCTTTATACTTGTTCTACTCCTAGGTACTTGTTCGAGTTGCTGCAATCATACGAACATTGTTCAGACCGCAATTTCGATTACTCTCGTCCTCCTGTGCTGGCCGGATCGAGCCGTATGCGTGCAATAGCCCAAGCCAACGCTCAGACATCGCAGTCATCCAGGTAACGATCATTCTAAGTCTGTTATTTTTGCAGGAATTTCAGATTTGTTTTTCCTGAATTCTTTCTCGCAGATAGGAAACATTTCTAGTGAATTCTAAATAATATGGGTGCTTTTCTTTCAATGGGAGTTAACAAGAAAGACGAGATCTCAATTAAGCTGTTAGAGCCTAAGAGTTCGTGACAAAAATATGCAACAGCATTTGAAAGCTTGATATTTCAATATGTTAAAGTACTAAAGATAATTACATCAATCAGTACCCAATGCGGAGGTTAGATGCTGGAAATCCTGGTGGCGGCGGGGCGCTGTGAAGTATGAAAAATCGTAACACGTTAATGGCACTTTCGAAAGCATTTTTGTCGCGAGCTCTCTGTCTATATTAAAATTATACTTAATTACAATTGTAAAATCATTTACGAGAATGAAACAATGTTTCGCACAGTGATATTGAGCATGCGGGCGGAGACGCTAGTCCTAACCGCCGCTCCGTGTCCCCGAGACCTGGCAGCAGTGCAGCCGGTAAGTATTTACAGAAAGAATCTGCTTTTAGCAGATAAACTTATGAATTTCATCGATGTTTCAAAACAGAATTTCGACACTGGCGTCATGTATTAACACTAAAATTTACATTGTCTATAATAGGCATGTAGCTTGAGAAATATATATGTATATATATATATTCCGTATCGGATAAAATTATTTTTCTTCAAGCTAATAAGACAGAAATAAGAAATTAGTACTATATCGCAAAGTTCAACGTACGAAATTCTCTCTGTTCGGCGACCGTGCTATTGAAGCTCTACAAACGTGTGACGTTATGTAACATTTCAACTCCAAACTCAATTTGATATTATTTAATAATCTACCATTAAGAAATTAAGTCATCATCCCTCGGGGTTTTATCCTTCTAGCTATGATATTATTTAACAGGTTCAAGCTCAGGGGCTCAAAAACGATCCTCCACTGAGCAGGAGGTTCATTTGCCACCTAAAAAGCGTTTGCGAATGAACGAGGCCGCCTTCCTCCGTCGAGATTCCTTCATCGACAGTATGTTCGGTGGGGTGTTGCTTACTCGCGTTGAATGTACCGAGTGCCATTCGTCGTCCCTATCTCGAGATGTTTTCCGTGACCTCCAACTGGCATTCCCCGAAAAACCAGAAGGCTGGCAACACAACGTCCAGAATCTTCTCGAATATTATTGCTCCAAAGAACGTTTGACTGGCGAGAATCAATATGAATGCCGTGATTGTGGCGGTCTACGGGATGCCGAGAGGAGTGTCTTAATTGAGACCACGCCCAAGTATCTGATCCTTGTCTTGAAGAATTTCAAGTAAGTATTGCTTTCATAATACTCGTAGATGTATATAAGTAGCCCATCGAAAATGTCCAGGAATTGTCAATCTCAATTCTGTTTCAATGAAATGAAATTCACTTTCACCTAAATTCGCGATACTTTGTACCATACAAAGATAGCTTTTCTTGATAATTTTCTGATTTAGAAGTTCATTAAGTTGTAAACCTTAAATTAAATAATATCCAGATTCCGTGTTCCATACAAAGCGCAACGACAATAGTGAAGCCGTATGAGATTCGCGTGTGCGTGAATAAAGAGCAATATGCGTGGAATCATTGTAAAGTTTTCCTCTATGTTAATGACACCAGTGATGACAGTATACAATGATTACCCCAAAATGTTGGAAATTATTACTAATTAAAATGAGTAGAATTTCTCAAACTGTTCAGTAATAAAAATGATATATGAAAAGTATTAACTTTCAACTACTTTTGATGTAATTAATTGAGATGGTAAGAAATAAGGTGTTAAATAATTTATCCAAGAGTCGTATCATAGCCAAAATGTCATTTTATAAATTTACTCGGTAGAGGATAAATAACAAAGTTACACTAAAATTCATCATTTTTTTTTATCGATATTATACTCTTTTTTATAGATAAAAATGTATGCACTTTTACAATTACCATAATAGTTTGAGTATTTATAGACGTTAATAAATTATTTTGCCTCACAATTTGCTAATCTCTGGCCCTATCTATCTCATTGTCGGGCGCAATATTAGTACCACTGACTGTAAATGACTAGACTGTAAATAATGGCCCAATAAAGCAAAACATATTTTTTAATAGAAAAATTATATAGTACCATCTTTATATTGTTTTATATCAGAATATAATTTTAAAGAAATGGTAATCTGCTAGATAGACCAATTTTTGGGACATTTCCTTGCTTATCAAAGGGAATGTAACCACTCCTTTTTATGGTTAACTAACGAAAAAGAAACTATAATTACATACTAGCGCCGTCGCAAAGTCAAAGATAATAATCTAAACTTTAACCATTAGCACTATTAAAACGTCTTATTGTCAAAATACTGAAAGCAACAACATTATATAATGGGGAAATAAAGTATAATATAATCATGTATACTTTACTTTAAATCTTTGGTTGTTTTCATCAGTTTTCTTTTTAATTTTTATACAATTTTGAAAGGAATACGTTTGTAAATTACTCTCTTAGGGCCAGTTTTTGATCCGTAGTCAAATGTCATTTCACCATTTGTTAACTTGACTATAGTTAAAACATTAACCAGTTATTAACCCGCTATTTCGTTTTTTGATGCCAAATTAAACCGTAGCCAAATTTAACCACTGGTTAATTTGTTGCCAGCACAATGACTCGTTTTTTCGCTATACATTGACATGGGTATTTTTTTCTGGGTGACAATACTAACGGTTTGAATGATGAATATACCATTTTTGACATTAGGATTTCGTTCCTAATATCAAATGGAGAAAAGAAATCTATAGATTACCAAATAGTGTGGGTCTTTATGGTTGTTCTGTTGTGAGCACTATGTGTTATTTTTCGGGAAATAGGCAATTTTTTAAATAATGTTAGAAAGCAAAGATATTTTTTTTCGAGTTATTTTAAACTTAACTTTTTTATAAAAAGTATATATTTCTTTTTTTTTTTATCTTATAGAGAAATACGTGAAAAGAATAAAGTATCTAGTATCCAAGGTGGGATTGTAATGTTGGAAAATAAATCGAGGAATATGTGTTTTATATACTCTAGGCATATTTACCTTTTGTATTGTCAATTCGTGGATTTTATAAGATTTTTAGTAATTGAATAATTTGGCATATGCCCGTGGAAACAAGAAAACAAATTATTTTATAAAAAAAATAACTTATTTTCAATAATCCTAAAACCCAAAAATAACTAATGTCCAAATTCACTATGGAATAATGTGGGGTTATAAAAACAACGTAAAAAGCAATAACAAGGGACCAAGTAAATACAACCCAGTTGTACATCTGTTCTTTTAACCATTGGTTATTTGCTTAACCTAGCTTCCAGTGATGGTTAAATTTTTGGACCAATGGTTGGAATTCTGACAATTGGTTAGGCTAACTATTAATCAAAAAACATATTTTTCTGATATTAAACCATTTGCCGATTAACAAATGGTTGAGTTAACCACGGATCAAAAAACTGGCTCTTATTGATGAAAAGTAACGATCAAATTCTTATGTTATTTAAGATTTCATTTCACTACCCAAACAGCCATTTTTCTAAAAAAAAATCTTGAAAAACGTGAGCGGCGAACGCCATTGACATTCTGTCGACAAGACCTGCCAAAAAAATATTTTTACGGGTCTTAATGGTATTCACTTTTTGTTTACGTACACGGTATCTGGACATTACATAATCTAAGTTGTAAACCAATTTAATAATAGTAACAGCATTTAAAAAAACTTGTGTTGTTATAATATTAACGTAAAAATAAACAATCGTATTCTAAAATTTAGATAGATTTGTCACGTCGGTCACTTTCGCAGGTTTGAGCCGAAACTGCAAGTGCAGACAAAACTGATGCACTCAATGTTCTACAATCACACAGTGACATTGCCAACTGTCCGCTCGCAAGCTGATCACGCCGCTTATGCATTGTACGCCGCTGTCATTCATGCGGGCACAACTCTCGACTCGGGCCATTACTATACACTTGCTAAGGATAACGATCTGTGGCACATGTACAACGATGATGTGGTCTCCGCAGCGGATGAGGCCCAGCTGAACGGACTTAACCGCTCCAGCACTCCATACATACTGTTCTATAGGCGTACTGATATCGAGGAGGGCACAGCTCCTTCTATGGAAGAGCTACCACCCAAGCTCCAGGAAACCGTGATGGCTCATAACAAACACTATGTTGATACAGTTCGCAAAATGCGGCTCACACGTCCATGACAATTAAGGTCAGATAAATACATCGATTTTTCGGTGTTGGATTATGTCGATCCCGAGTAGGCAGGTTCCGCTCGGCTCAAAAGAAATTGACAACGCGTTAATATTACGGACCACTGATGACGCTGACCAAACTATTTGCAGAATTCATACCTTAAATATTATCTACTTGACGATACACGTACAGAATTGATGTTCATTGATAATCGATTACACATACACAGCCCCAATTTTGAATAAAATGCAGGAAAAAATTGTAACCAGTGCACAATATTGTGTTCGTTTCAGTAAATCACACATTTTTCTGTTTCATCGTCTGTCATCGGAGATAAACAAGAAAACATTTCTTTAAACAGGTTGCTAGTATACCTGGATTATTAGCATTTTTTGTCTAAATACCAACACATTTTTACTACTATTAAAACGAAGATTAAATTATATATACCAGTATTAATATTTAAATATGTTTTTTTATATATTTTATTAACAATATTAAACCGTTGAAGTAAAAATCAATATGCACTGATTGTAAAGTTAACCTGTAGTGTACGAAACATCAATTAAGATATCATGACATTTATCTTTTATGAATAAAAAATGGATTATATAGCATGGATTAATGTCGTAATAATAGTTAGTTATTTGTTGTAAGGTTTAAAATATTGATGTATCTTTACTTCGAGACTGTTTGATTCCACGTTACCGACGTTTTCAATGAACTCAACATAATTGTTTTATTATTTTATACAAATATTAAAGTCTGGAATAGTTTCGTTTTCGAAACCACACTAAATTTATCTTATATATAAAATTGACATTTTAAATTTTATTCTATTTTTACAAAATCTGTTTTAAATTTTAAGAATGTATTTTGTAAAACTAATAATGTATACTGTTTACACTCATAGATACATGTAATCACTCTTATTATAGGCACAAAGAATCATAGTTTCTGTAAACTGATAAGGCATTTGTCAATTCAATGACGAAATTCAAGTTAAAAGTTAGATTTTAGGTAAGATTTTATGTATTTTGAACCTCATTTATAATATGTTATGATTTATTTTATTCCTGACTAAAAACCTTTTTATGCAATATAACGAAATCTGTCGCTGAACCCGCTGTCCCCCTGCATGTAATTGTCTATTGTGAGTAATAAGTGTGTTATATTTTATTGTACTGACTCTGATAAATCTAGTATACCTACTATATAACTGTTAGATATACACGTGTAACAAATATGAAATATGGCTATAAAGTCGATCATTCGTTCTGCTAGTATTACAACTAAATAACTTTAAAAAATATTTATTTCTCTAGTTAATACATACTTTAGTAATAAAACATTATAAACATATAACTGATTTGGCTATTATAACTTTATTCTACGAATAGTGTCAACATGTGACCCGTAATCAATGTGTAAATAACTTGAATATTTTATTTAATCAGTTATAATTTAATGATGATATTAAAATTAATCGATTTTCTTTAAACGCCGACTCTGGGGGTGTTCATATCCTTCGTGTATGTTACAGTAAACCTTCGTAATATATAAAGTATAAGTAGCTAATCGATGTCCTAAATAACTTAATGTTAATATTGTCACTTTAAAGTATTGATAAACCATTATTATTATAAGGACGATTTCAAAATTTTGCTTCATTCGCATGTGCGTTTAGTATATCAAATGCTGACATGGGAATAGTAATTTATAGTCCTATATACTAAATTGGTAGTTCTTTTGAATGGATCAAGATTCAGTGGTCTTGCTGATGTGGCTGGAACATACAGGCATCGAAGTTGCACCTTTGTACTTCGTTATCTTTGAAGAAGGTTGATGATGATTGAAAAAAATATTGGTGATGTGAACATGATGGTTTCTTAAAGTAGTTCAAGATAATAAACGCACCAGTGAATTAAATTTTAAATATGTAGTGTCAAATATGGTAATGCTTTTTGTGTCAAATTTGACGTGTATCGACAGTTTAGTTTTGTTTATACAGTTAATAATTTTAATTATAAATAGAATATGATTTGTATGATTTATTTTTGTTTTATGTAAATATTAAGATCTCCTAGAGATTTAAAGTTTTGCGCGCACTTTCATTCATGACTTTAGTGTGGTCAGATAATGTAAATGTTGTGGAACATCAGGTTGTATAATACATTATATTGTTTGGATTGGTTTCGCATCGGTAGGTCTTACAATGAAAGTGCTTAGCAAACGTATTAGAATTAAAATGTACATTTTCTTGATACTTATATTATTTAGTAGTAAGACTTCTGCAATCATTCGTGGATGGTTAAAAACTGTCTTAGAATAGATTGAAGTTTATAAGTTTATTTATTTACATGTTTTTGCTAGCATAACACCGACCACTCATAAAAAAGTTCATAATAATGTTATTCCAAGCTCGACGACTACATGACATAATAAATTTCAAAATTGCAATATCATATGGTTTCAATGTTTGTCTTGTCTCATATTCAATTGTAGTATTAACGGGTCGTTAGGTACTACGACACTGTGACCTTCATAAAATCGAGATAATTATGCTGTTTCTTCTTATTGGGGGTAGTTGTGGGATTTCTTATCCTTTTGCATACAGATTTAATATATAATATAACATGGCACACTTTTCTTTCCTAATATAATAAGTTCCTTTCCTAATATTTTTTCAGGCATAATAACGTTTATGCATAGGTTATGCCTGAAGCATAAAAATAACATGCACAAATATAGCGTTCGCCGGCCGATAGAGACACGTCACTTTCTGTCACATTAACTATCATGACGATAACGATAAACTTTTATGCCAAAAGTATATTAGGTATAAAAACATGCAAAAGTAATGTTCAACATCCATAGCACTCACTGCCCCTGTTGACAGAACAGCTTTTTCTTTTATTAATGACTTATTTGCGCATTTCGCACAATTCTGCCAATGACAAGTGATTAAATTATTTCTAAATGTAAAATGAAAATTAAATGAACGAAAGATAACAGAACCGATATAGCATTAAAGATCTTACGTCAAAAATTGGTATGGCATGTCTTTTGACGACAAAGAGGCACGATGTAATATGAACAAGTTTAAGAACATTTGCATTGTCTCTGATGGAATTTCATCTTGCAAGGGATCATACAACAAGTAAACAAGAAAACTTGCTATATACGAGAAGTTACTGCAGGAGCTAAGAATTTTTGTATTTCTACCTTTCGTTTTATCACCCAAATGTTACCACAACCAAATAAATAAATTTTAATTCATAGGGCTGACCGGAATTATATATCCGTACCATTGCAAATAATAAGGAAGTGGGTGAAGTGTAGACTACAGAATAAGTAACATCTTCCTCGACTACTAGCCCGCGGAACTTGAAGTGGAATGCGAAGGAGACATTTAATACCACCACAGAAACATCTTTGTACAATGTAGTTTCAAGCACGAAGACTATATACTGTAGTCTGTAAAATGCCAAAGTATTTGATAGAATCCGAATTCATCGCATACTCACGTTCCAGATATGTTTGTTTATTTATAAAATAATTTATCCCGTCATTTTTATGCTCACGATTTCTTTCATCGAATTTATAATAAATGATAATCAATTACTAAAGAAAGACGTAGAAAAAGATCCGACTGGAACAACTATACTCCGCACGTATTATCAAAGTCAGTAAATAGGCGTGAAGTATTCTTGGCATGCATATCACAACAATGAACTCTACGTTCGCCGTCGAGCTTTGATGACATTACAACAATAACAGAACTGCATTAAAATTACAATTTGGGAATGCAATCACGTAAGAAATGTGTTACAATCGTTGCAATTGGGAGATTTTCAGGACTATTTAAAATTTGACAATATTTTAGAACCTTGCCTATGTAAATTATAATTAAATAAACGATTAATATATGTTATTATGTTATATGTTATTAATATATGTTACTATTAATCTTTTCCTCGTCTCGTCCCGTCCCGTCTCGATCAATCCGATGACTAGTTTAGACAGAAGTTTTCTTTTGTAAGAAAATATTTAATATGTCCTTTGAATAACCAGTTTGTCAAGCTTCACCCAGCCGTACTATAGAACGTCATGTTCAGCCGATTGACGTTTAGTCGTGTAATTAAATGCGCCATCCAAACTAAATGCTAGCCGTCCAATTGAAAGGCTGTTTTAACCAGTTTGTTGCGATACATATATTACCTTCAACACAATGCACTCCTTTTTGGGCAGTCGTGTGAAAATATTAGCCATTCAGTTATAAGACTAAATTAATATTTTAAAATTTGTACATCTCCTTCCTTATACAGCAGCTAAAATATGGTTGACATCTTATAAAACTTCTTAAATGTCGCAATCCAATTCCACTTTGAGATCACGGTTTCCTTGTGTTGCATTCCCTAACTGTAAATACAAATGAAAAATTCTCTGTCAGTTTGAAACGCTGATAACAATTACATCGACATTTTTTTATAATTGCATGCTTGTATGTTTGTTCTGTTAATCGCCAATTTCACGAATTAATAATTATTTACATTTTTTGTATATAAGTATGTAATGGAAGTGGAGAATAATTCATAAACATAAGTACTATATTGTGATTATTAAGATTCGATTGATAGATGAACTTCAAGTGCATGGGAAATATCACGAAACTTTGTGTTATATTTACTCCAAATTATTGTAAACATCGCCGTACTTATATGCAATAAATCAGTTTATTGCGAGCTATCGTCGTTTTATTTGTTCCGAATGTCTAATTGCTTTAAGGTAAGTGTAAAACAAAGAAAAGTAACTGTGATGAATGACTTGAAATAACCTAAGTTCTTTTTTTATTTCAAGTCATCACAGTGTAGTTGTACCAAGTCTCCTTAATGTGAATCTTCCATTTGATTTGCGTGGACCCTCGTCAGTCAAATTAGAAAAATCAATTATTTAAATAGCGTGAACGTTTATAAAAAAATATAATAGTTAATAACAACCAGATAAAGAACGGAGATAATAAGCCCAATTTTTACTATAGATTCTTACACACTCAATCTTTTTAAAGGTTCCGTGGTTTACAAGGAACCCTTATAATTTCGCAACTTCTGTCTGTCCGTTCGTCCGCGATTTAGCTCAACTATTGGTACTTACTGGAAAGTTTTAATTTGGCATGAGTATAAA